GACGTTAGGCGTAGAGTGTTGGGCAAGGAGGGAAAATCAATCGAAGAGGCTATAAAGTTACATAGATTGAGATGGCCAGGTCACGTTCTGCGCATGCCTAACCATCGCCTCCATCGACGGGCATTACTAGCTGATATAGGTGCAGGTTGGTTGGAAAAGAGTAAGTGGTGGCCAAACAAAAACATGGCCTCATCAATCCATGAAATCCTTGACAGTTAAACTGAGTCAGGTAGGGAGATGCAGACTTCCGGGTCGGGGCCCGCCCTCGGAACTCTAAGAATCAATGGCTGGAGACACTAGGTGACATGGCTCAAAATCGTTGTCAATGGCTTACACAGATGTATTCAGTCTCTGTAATCTTTCATATTCCTTTCTGCCATTATTCATTCTGTCTCACTCTTATACTTATCAAAACTCTATTGATTCTCTTCACTCATTTTCTTGTCTACCTCTGTGTGCTATTTGGATCGTGGCAACTCGAACTGGTGGACTTCGGTGCCAAGTTCTATGTTGAATCCAGACAGACAGACCTGTATGTACTTACATGGAGCGTGGTAACTTGAACTGCTGTTGCACTACTGTGCAAATTTCTACCCTGGCCCCTCAGTTGGGCAGATCACAAAGAAAATGTGACTGCATCCTTACGATTGATAATGATTTTACGCCATGTCTCCAAAATTTCTTAGCCAGTTCCACAGGCAGACAGTCTTCTACACCCCCCTATGTGGCTCACAGTGATGCCTAGAGATTTAATGGATTGATTTCATGTTTTATTATTTACTAAAACAGAAACTTGGTGCATTATGATGAGCACCAAGAGATGCCCCACATAAAATCTCATAGTTTGTGCGAGGGCTGGGACACTACTACCCAGACGCTCAGACAGAAGCAGGTGACTGTCTTAAGGGACCACCACCCCCCCAGCCTTTGACTTGAAGCCTGGTTCACAAGATAGTGGAGCATCATCAGGATCTACCCGTCCCCGTGTTCTCCGGGAACCAAAAACAGTCGCATACATCATTCAATCCTTTCGGACTCTGAAGTCTGCAAACACCATAAGTTTGGAATACGAGTTTTCTAGCTCACCTATGTAGACTTGCTTACTTGTAAGTAGCAGACGTTCGCATTTACCCTTTTACTTTTGTGAAGAACATCCCCGCTGCGTAAAGGCAAGGAATAGCAGGATTCGGTTGGAAAAAGAGTTAGACGTGGTGGTTAGATCAAAATCTGGAAACAATTCATGGAATCTTTGACAGTTATATTGATCTACGTAGGGAGGTGATGGGACTGCTTGGTTGGAGTTTCCGGGATTCGAAGGACCAATCACTTGAGAATATTGGTGATGTGACTCAAAATCGTTCTCAATGACGCAGACCACTCTTTAACCCATGACAGCTATTAAACCCTCATATCTTACCATGTTTCTATCCTTTTGCCTTTTACAGTTATTTTAGTTTTCCGTCTCATTTCTCTACCTCTGTATAGTAGTACATGGAGTATGATAACTTGAAGTGTTACATATCTGTGCAAAGTTCTATATGCCGAAACTCATTCAGGAATAATATGTAATAACTATCTCTCTTTTTTGTGCTTATAATCATTATTTTTCTTTTAAAAATTGCCTTTAGGGATTAGAAATAGTCAATCCACAAGCTGCAGAGAAACCAATGGAAATTGGAAATAAGTATTTCAGTAGCACATGTGGTTTCAAAAAAATTGAAGGAAAGAAGAAAATTGATGATTCCATGACAAACGGAGAGAAGCATGTTTGAGAAGATGGTTGCGGAATCTCCCAATTTGTGTGTGTGTACAAAGAATTTATTTTGTTGTAACAAGTGCGCATATCATCCATACTTTCAAGCGGAAATTAAGTATTGTTGAACTGATATCAGAAAAATTAAAACTGACCAGCTTAATCCCCATTTTTTCTCGCTTGTTACTACAAATTGTATAATATATATCTTATGTAAAATAAAATACATATCCTATATTTTATATCAATCAGTCTTTCAAAATGGTCGGCTTTTGTTTAGCAGCACTTAAAATAGCAAGCGAACATGTAATATTAAAACAATTAGTTCCTTTGATAAATTTGAATAAGGCATTAAGAAGACAAATTTCGAGAGATGATATTGTCATTTAGTAGTTTCTTTACAACTAACATGGTTAACAATAATAAAATAAATTTCATGACAACTACTCAGTTAAATAAAAAACACAAAAGTACATACTAATGACCAACCATATTTAGATAGGTCATGTTGTCCATGGTAGGCGAAGATTGAAGTCTATTGTTTTTTGTACACACAGTTTAGGCTGCATGGGATTAATCCAAAGTGCTTCCATCACCTTCAATAACCTTGAATGAGAGTTATGTGAAATAATCGTGAAACAGTCATTAATATTGGTTTTGTGACCTGACATTCATAAGTGTTTTGCAGTGGATGATGCTGGATTCCTATTCAGATTAATTGCATTGGGATTTTCTATATGATTTAGTAGCCATTTTGGAGCATGCTTTTTTCGACGACATTGGAATATTCTGTTGGTTCTACCTATATAGGTGTCACCGCAGCTGCAGGTGAACTTGTAGATACAGTTTGAAGTAGAGTCCATAGAATTTCGTCCTTTAATCGTAGGTACTGGGATCGAAAATGTTCGGCAAATGAGAAAAAGAGATGCGGCGTAGAATGTGCGTTTGATGGCTGACCGAAGCCTTTGAGCTGTCAACTGCATAATCTGGTCGCCCTTGAATGGTAAGTTAATAAAGATAGCTTTCTTTGGTACAGAAGCTGTCTTTTCGAGATGTGGTCTTTCTTTACAGTGACAAGTGATAACGTTTTCCGGATAACCATTAGCTAATAAAACTGAATATCTATGTCGAAACTCATCCATCATTGTGTCACTCGTGCATATTTTTCGGGCCCTTGAGAACAAACATTTCACTAGGGAACGTTTATACTGGATAGGAACAAAACTGGTGAAATGAAGATATTGTCCACTCCATGTCCGTTTACGAAAAATAGATCGTTCCATCATCTCTCCCACTATGACTACTAAATGATATCACCTCGCGAAAATTGTCTTCTTAATGCCTTATTCGAACATGTAATAATTTGACAAAACACACGATAAGTGTTATAGTGTAATTTCTTTTACTAGTGATATTTCGAACACAACTTATTGCTTATAATTATATCAGAGTAAACTCAATGAAGCCCTTGAAATGAAGATAGTAGAAAGATAAGACTGTGCCTACCATTCATCGGTGATACTTCTGATTGCGGTGGACTGGATCATACAACGGACTGTGCAGAGTGAGAAGACGTACGTATACGTTGAGTCGGCGAAAAGAAGACTGAGGAAAATCCAGACTTTGCGGATGACTTATCTTTAGTGTCACAGAAACTCAAAGATCCACAAGCAAAAACCAACAAGTTGGCAGAAGAGGCACGTAACGGACAGGACTTCGGGTGAACACAGAGGTAGGTGATGAAGACAGCTACCTAGCCAAAAACACCAATCACTACCAGCGGGGAAATTTTTTTAAGGAAGTTGGCTCTTTTACTTACCTCGGCAACACTGTTTTAACTACAAGTGGCAAGAATGTGGATGTTCATGTCAGAATCGGAAAAGCCGGACAGGCGTTCAACACTCTGCAGTCAATGTTACATGACACCCAGCTATTGATTGGTTAATGGAGGTGTACCGTACAGCAGTTCAATCCATCATCCGTTATAGCTATGAGATGCAGCCACTGCAAGTGGAAGATATGAAAAGGTTAGCTGTCTTTGTTCTGTCTCCTGTGTTGGAGTAGTATGACACGATATGGTGAGTAATATTGAGGCTAGGCGTGGAGTGCCGCGTAGGGGAGGGAAGTCAATACACATAGAATTATGAAGTGACATCTATTAAGACAGATAAGACGCTTCTTGTTGCACATGTCTAGTCACCGCTCTCCTCCACCGGAAACGTGAGCTAACATACGATTAGGTTGGATGAGAGTTAGGGGCGAGTATATCAAAACCTGGGATCAGTCCATGAAGTCTTTGACAGTTGGTTTGAGCCAGCCACTTAGGGAGCTGTCTGACTGGAGTCCTCGGGATGCTAAGAATCCATAATAGCTGGAGTCTACTGATCGATGATGCAGTAAACACTCAAGTGTTTCCAAGTCACATTTCTTTCTCTCGCACATTTCTGCTTATAGTAGTTCTCTTGGAAATTTATTTTCCCTTTCTTTTCTCTACCTCTGTATGCTACATCGGGTGTGTGTCAAGTTGAACTGGTACAGTTTAGATGCGTTGAAATCCAGCAGTCAGTCAGTGATCGCGAGCTACCTGGAATGGTGGCCACATTGCATATACCTGACTGATAGAATTATAGTCTGCACCAAAGAAGGACTAGATACGTCACACTAGTTGGTAGTGTCCAATCAAAATACCCACTACAGTCCTACAGGAGGTCAATCGCGAGCCCGAATAGCTCAGTGGTAACGTCTCTGACTGCAGCACTGGGTGACGTGGGTTCGAATCTCATGAGTTCCTTCAAGGTTACAGATACGCCTTGCTGATGAGTGCCAACTAGGACGAAACCTATGTCCAAGGCTTCCTACCGATTGCCTCCAACTATCTAATATCAAGTCAGTCAGTGCGCTAAAATTAACGTTACTAGTACTCCCGTGAATCACTTCTGCTCACTTCTTTAGTCATTATATAATACCCGCTTTTTAAAAAGGCAGATATATTTATTTTCTTTAAAACAAAAAAGGTGACTCTGATTTGTATACAGATACTTGGTGGGAGGGGGGGCATTTATAAATAATAAAAAAAAACATCCACAAATACAGAAGGGGGGAATATACAAACAATGAAATTTACATAGAGAACAAGCAAAGAAAAAGTAGTAATAGGGATTGTGTAGCTGCAATTGTTCCTCTTTATTATTATTATTTGAATCGAAATGATCCATTGCTGACTGCATCATCATCGTCATCATCATCATCATTGAAAGTTCTGATTGGTGTTTGTGCTTATCAGAATTTTCTCCAAGCGATTATGCATAACTTGAATAAATAGTCGTTGATTCTGTTTCAAGAAAGCAGCCTAATAAAACAAAAAAGAAAGAGAAGAGAGAGGGGTATTCGAATTAATATCACAGAAATATCCTTATAAGGTAGGTAATACGCAACAAAAACAACCATATTCACTCTATTTATTCATATCTACAAAAAACTGAAATAGAAACCAAGTCGGAAATTAAATACCTAAGCGTCATTCTATCTGTTGATCTCTCCTGGTCGTCTCATATCCTAGCGATTTCTAAGGAAATATTCCGTCTAACCTTCTACATCAAGAAGTTAAAACATCCTGGTATAACCCAACGCTTACTCCTTCAATTCATTAACTCTCGCATTCTGCCTATTATTCTCTATTGTTCCCCCTTAGTTTTTCCCGGGCTACTGAAGAAAGACTATAACATATTACGCAGGATGTCAAAGGTTGTCAGCAGGGTAAGCAACGTGCCACTTAACCAGCTTGTTAATATTCTGGTTGACGGGCACATGGACTCGTGTGAGAAATGGGCCAAATCCATATTATCTAACTCACACCACCCTCTTCACTCACAACTCTCCCCTTGCATCTCATCAGACAAAACCAGAAGCCTATATAGAAAACTATATGCTCGCACCAGCAAGTACAAAAACTCAACCATACCCTACTTAGTTCGTGTTCTGTGCGATAAAGAAAGTATTAGGCGTGATACCTAAAGGTGCAACATTTTTTCTTTTCCTTTTCTCTCTCTCTTTTTTTTCTTTCTTTCCGTTATGTGCTGCTTTGTTTCTTTCTTCCGCCTACGCCAGTAAATATGACAGCTCCTACTTTTCTAACACCTTCAAACACTGTTCAGCTTTGGCTTTGCTACCGACATGCCAATGTGTTGTTGTAATAATGAACTGAGATTTCCTTAGTCTATGTAGAACTCTATTTATTGATAATGTACTAAATGGACTCTCTCTCTCTCTCTATATATATATATATATATATATATATATAGACTATTCTAGAATAGTAGTCAATAACAATATTAGTGTTTTTTAAATAATATCGATTGGTAAAGTAAGATCACAATGGAATTACAGTTCATTAAAGATGCTTAAATTATAATAAAAATAAAGATATAATAGCGAATAGAATATCAACTAAAATTAAGGATTAGTAGAACCTAGATGGCCAAGGTAAGGACAATATCTGAACTAGCTTCTTTTGAACACATAAATTAGACTTCTTAATGTGGATCCCAACAGCCAGCCTCAGCAATATTTAGTAAACGAACTCTGAAGGCGAAGTTAAAATTTGTTGGTATCTGTGGATTCCCATTGACATATATGTCGACTGAGTTGAACAGCTTGTTAAACGGCTGCTTCAATATTTCCAGCTTTATTGACCCAGAGTTGCTGGTTCGATGCTCGCTAGAAAGTAATGGAATTCAGAAGGCGCTTTTCGACTTTTCAGATAATGTTCATGCGCATTCCAATGGATGACAGTGTTCCTTGTGAAACACTCGTGGCCCCCAGTAGATGATGCTTTTGCATTTGAAGAAATGCGTGCAGACTTCCAGTTTCATTGACAACAACATCACATCACCCATTAGGAATCAGGTTCTTCTAAATGATGCATCGCAAAAAGTAGGAGGGCGCGCGCGCGTTCTGAACTCCACTGCCCTAACCATAATCGATCAAGCGAATTTCATGATCCATCAAGCCTTACGGGAACAAAGACTCCTCTGAAGCCATTTAAAAAACAAAATAGTTACCTACCTTAGTTAAGTGATTCAGCATTTCAAACATTTCATGAAGCATTGAATGATCGAAATGACTACGAAGAAAGGCAATATTCTTTTGCACTAGGCTCTTATCTTCATGACCAGTACCAGCAGCAGGAGCAGCAGCCGTACCAACTGTAATCTGTCGCTGTGCTGGAGATGATGATAAGGGTTGTGCTTTCGGTGATGCAGTAAAACTTGACGAGAGATCACGTAAACGTTGAGGCTGTAAAGATTGGTCTTTTGATTTGATGCTTTCAACTTTTGTATCCTGATTATTGATGAAGTTAGTTAAATGCTTCCATAATAAAAAGGTTGACTGTTCAATAATACCTGTATATATAGTATAGGGATATAATATGTATGCATAAATCATGAGAGGAAAAAAAAACGTGTTAAACTCGAGAACAACTTTGATAAAATCAACAACAAAATATTCATTAAGGACAAGTGAATAATCGTGCGAACATTCTATGTCCATATATACTTGTTTTTGCTTTCATCGTAGGAAGAAGACATAATACAGTCTGACTAGCTTCCTGAAGGCTTTCATCAGCCAGTGTGTCATTTTTTTTCTCTTCGATTCCAGTGAAGAGTAAGTTCAGTTTTTATATATATTTTTTTGATGGGATTTGAAGTTTCTGAAGCAAATGAATTGATTCATTGAGAGTGGAAGACATGAAAAGCCTGGCTAGCTGTCTTCGATCATAGGTGTCTGCGTTCTACTTCCCTCGTGAAGTTGTATAATGAGGTGAACAATATTGAGGTTAGGCGTCGAGTGCTAGGTAAGGAGGGGAAATCAATCGACGAAACTCTGAAATTACATCGACTGAGATGGTTAGGACATGTGCTATGTATGGCTAGTCATCGCCTTCCTCGATGGGCAATGTTAGCTGATATAGGGTCAGGTTGGAAAAGAGCTAGCAGCGGTCAAACCAAAACATGGCACCAGTCAATGAAATCCACAACAGTTAGTTTACGTCACGTAGGAAGGTGTAGGCTTCCTGACTGGTTGGGGTCCTCGGGACGGTAAACACCAATGGTTGGAAACAATTGGTGACATGGCTCAAAATCGTTCTCAATGGCTGGTGCGGATGCATCCACTCCTTGTGACTTATGATTTCCAATGAAACTGTTTTGTTCTTCGTTATTACTATTCCTTTGTCTCACACCTCTGTTTACTGTCTATATTATGCATTTCTCCTACTTTCTTCTCTTGCTTTGTGTGCTACAAGGAGGGAGTGTGGCGACTTGAACTGCTGCACATATGTGCAAAGTTCTATGTCGAAAACCGACCGACCGAAATGAATTGATTTTCTGGAGTAGGGTCACCAGACCGACGCCAAACCTTCGCCTATCTTCCACGCTTATGATCGGATATTGAATTAGTTGACATTGCACGCCAGGCTCTCACAAATGGGACTTGAATGGTAGACAACGAGTAGGAGGTCGCATGGAGAGTGACATAGAGGAGATTATGTTGAAGGGGAAATGAAAGAGTACGGGTAATCGTGAAGACGGGAAAAAATAGGGGGGAAATGAAGGGATGCTACCGAAGCCTTATGTTTTACTCGGGACTCAAAGGAATAACAATAGAAAGAAGAACAGAGCTAACTGACAAATAGAACAGTCTACAAACCAATGTTTTCAATAGATAGAACTTTCATCAGTGAAGGAGAGACCTCAGAGTGAGTTTAGTTACCTAATTTGAAAATTACACTTATTGTGTGAAAGCTGATAATAATAACGAGTTGACCAGAATGAATTGCGCGGATTCGAACCTGAGACCCACCTATTGATTAGCAAGCAGTTCAGTGCTTTAACCAATTAGAACGGAATAGATAATGATATTGTACTTTTGTTTAAAGCTTAATTAGTTCTGGATAGTTCAACAGAATGAAAAGATCAGTTGTCAGGATTACAATAGTGCTCCTCTATCTGAGAACTATGCTATATGACACAATCATATTTTGGTGATGTATTGTAAGCATGAATAAGACTACTTACTACCTGACACTCGAGAACAAATCGGAATCCCTCACATTAGGGTTGGGTTCCAAGTGAAACATAGGAAGTTTTGAGGGATGGGGTTGCTAGCTTCACATCCAACCTTTCCTCTTTTTCTATCTGATTATCGGCTAGTAAACTGAGCGAGGTATAGAAGTGCATCGGCCGGGAGTCGGAACCGAAATTCCCCCACGGTTGGCGAGCATTGTATCACTGAACTATCGACGCACGAAATACATTATAAACACTGCTGCACACACGAATCGCATAACATTCAGATATCCACTTTCATAGTTTCAAAACTGCTAAATAAAGAAGTGTAATTAAACCAATAAGTCCAACTAGATAGTTCTAATAAAACAGTTCAATTACAGGGAACAGATTTTTCGTGTACTGGGGGCTAAGAGTCGTGTGAGGGCTGATGATACCACCTAGCTGCTTAGGTTGAAGTAAGTGTCGCAGAATTCAAGCTAGTAGTAACCCAGCGGACGAAAACTGAGTGCTTTAAACCAATGCGTCACATCTTCTTTGAGATGCAAACACTAGACTGTTATGTCATCGGTCGGTTTTCGACAGAGAACTTTGCACAAATGTGTGGCAGTTCAAGTCGCCACACTCCCTCCTTGTAGCACACAAAGAGAGAGAAGAAAGTAGGAGAAATGTATAATATAGACAGTAAACAGAGGTGTGAGACAAAGGAAGAGTAATAACGGAGAACAAAACAGTTTAATTGGAAATCATAAGTCACAAGGAGTGGATGCATCTGCACCAGCCATTGAGAACGATTTTGAGCCATGTCACCAATTGTTTCCAACCATTGGTTTATACCATCCCGAGGACCCCAACCAGTCAGGAAGTCTACACCTTCCTACGTGGCTTAGACTAACTGTTGTAGATTTCATCGATTGGTGCCATGTTTTGGTTTGACCGCCGTTAGCTCTTTTCCAGTCTGACCCTATATCAGCTAACATTGCCCATTGTCGAGGAAGGCGATGACTAGGCATACGTAACACATGTCCTAACCATCTCAGTCGATGTAATTTCACAGCCTCGTCGACTGATTTCCCCTCTTTACCTAGCACTCGACTGAGGCCTAACCTCAATATTGCTCACCTTATCATACCACTTCACGCGGGAGATAGAACGCAGATACCTATCATCAAAGACAGCTAATTTTCTGTACTGCTGTAATTATTCCCAAAGTGCATTCAGATACCTATGTGTCACTTGAAATTCATTTGCATTCACGTGAACGTAAAGAATTATCAATATATATTAATTATGCCTAGCTTTCTGAATGGCACATTGCACTCTGTGTGTCATCATTTCGAGATGACTCCATAGCTGTACTACACACAAGCTTTCACGTATTCATCATAATATCACTTTCAAACTTGCACCCTACCCGATGTTTGCCATATATATATATAGCTTTCACTTGATAGACAGCCTGGTGTAAAATGTCACTTAAAATTGTCTCTTCAGAGCATGAGTGATAATCCAATCTTCATTTCTTTTTGCAAGTGTTTGTTAGCCGATAGATTGTTGACTAGTTTGCTACTAGAGATCACTTTCGGAGATGTGTTCTTTAGCATTTGATGACAACAAGCTACACCTATTATGTCAGGGAAGAAAAAAACTATCTGGTTATTTAAAGCATGATAGGTGTGGCAGCACACACCCGGAATGGATAACCCAATAGTTGAAAGTGGAATGCTTCAACCAATGAATGAGTTACAACTTCATTTCAAATCAATCAATAAAGAAAATCACTTACCAATAAGTCCACGCAGTTGAACACGTAAACAACTAGCACCAATCTGTGTTAATCTCTGCATCATCATAAACTCTGAATTCTGACTTTCTTTACCGCCGGTCATTCGACTACAAAATAAGAGTACATGTAAATTATTTGGATTACTATTCAATGTACATTAAGTGACAATGTCAATGAGCCATGCAATATTCGCCTTCCGTAAAACTATTTACTACTACTGATTGGTTGAGATGTGAAATCAGCTGGGTTTTTAGTAGCAGTGGTGTCTTTTTCTGGCCTCACGCCGAAACCTTCCCTCTTTACTGGGCTTAGTACTTTTTTTTATTCCTTTACGTTCCCAATGGAACATAGGGCTCCAAGCTAGAGGTTTGAAGTTTCTGTAGCAGAGTTTTATTTTTTACGGACGGAGTTGCTAGCCTCATGCCCAACCTTCCCTCTTTACCAGCTTTATATCTGGCTTAGCGACGTAAAGGAGTGCGTCGGCCGGGGATCGAACCCTAGGCTTTGTGCATGGCTTACTACTGGCTAAGCCAAATTAAGGAGTGAGTCGGCTAGGGATCGAACCCCGGACCACGTGGGTAACTGACATATATTCTACCACTGAACTACCAATATACAACCAAATAATCAATTAGAAACCCACTGAAAACCACCAAGGAATACTGGACAGTTGTTTTTTCCTAATTTGGGACTCTTCAATAGTGTGCATTCACTGGGGTTCGAAGCCAGGACCTTGTGGTTAGTAGGCGAGCTCATAGATCACTCAGCCAATGGAAAATTCAAATAATGGATTAAAATGAGGTAAGCTTTATGTCTAGTGTTTATTAAAGACAATAAGAGCATCATACGTAAAACGAAAAAACGGGGAATTGATTGTGTTCCAACTTACTCATTAGAATTTAACAACTGTACAGAAAAATTAAAAATGATAGATGAAGCTTGTTTCAATTCATGGATGGATAAGTTTTCACTGGACGATTCACACTATAGTAAAAAAACAACAACAACAACATAAAAGCATAGAAAAGTAAATTAATGCTTGAAATGATAGCTATTTTTATTATTGAATTATTTAAATATATAATAGGATAACAGTGTTGATCACAAGAGAATTTAGCAGAGAACCAAAACACCAACAACCTATCGCTTTAAAAATATGCTAAAGAAAATGGAAATAGTTTGGAAAATCCACTAAGAAGACCTCCCCCCCTTTAGTGGAACCTGAAAGACGGAAACGATGAGTTCAGCATGGATTCAACGGTGACATGTGAAGAGGAAATGAAAAAACTTGTGAGTAGTCGTCAAATCAACTGAAAGTAATGGTAGAGAACTGAGTACAATGAAGGTGTGCCACAGAAATACAATATTCCACTCAGGTTTGAAGGAACGAATAAAAATAGTAATGATAACAGTGTTGATCGGATATCATGATCAAAATCCTGATCAAATCCTGAGCAATTAAACAATATAAAACAGCATTACAGCGTCGGTGGCATAGCCGTTAGGACGCTCGCAGACCATACACATGGTCCGGGGTTCGATCCACGGCCGACGCACTCCTTTACCTCGCTAAGCCAGAAATAATGCTGGTGAAGAGGAAAGGTTGGGAATGAGGCTAGCATCCTGTAAAATAAACACTGCTACAGAAACTTCAAGCCCTATGTTCCACTGGGGAACGTGAAGGAAAAAAACAGAGTTACAAAAACACGAAAGATGTAAAAAGATTAATTTCTAGACTATATCAACGGCTTAGGCGATGCACTGCTTACCAGTAGGTCACGGGTTTCGAAGCCTGCTTCACCCTACAGAGATTTGAGCAGCCATGCAGTATCCTTAGCCCCGACACACAACAGGCGTGTGGCTTATTCCCAACTGCATGAAATCGCCAGTGGTTGTTGAGTAACAAAATTTCACTGCCAACGGTTAGTCACAAAAGCCGCATACAACTCAAAAACTAGAGAGTAGCTTTCTTTCACAAATATAAGACACAGGAAAATTAAGTATAGGTGAAAAACGTGGGATTTTTCCCTCCAAAAGTTCAATTATTTTATTGAATAACTTTAGAATTACATTGTTACACTGATTAAAGATACAGCGTCGAATGACATGATATATATATATATATATATATATATATATATATATATATATACCAATTTCCTGTACTAAAATAATTTACGAAGATTGCAGCTCAGTTTCTTATTCACACATATTTTTCACACACACATACTACTACTACTTTCGGCAAGCTAGAAGTGTATTTATTATCTCTTCTAATCCGTCCCCATCTCTTTGTCACTAGACTAGGAAGTCTTGCCTTTATGCTTAATTACTGTAAATAATAATTAATTTATTCCTTCACGTTCCCAGTGGAACATAGGGCTTCAAGTTAGAGGCTTGAAGTTTCTGCAGCAGTGCTTATTTTTACAGGATGGGGTTGCTAGCCTCATTTCCAACCTTTCCTCTTTACCAACTTTTATTACTGGCTTAGCGAGGTAAAGGAGTGCGTCTGTGGCCGGGGATCGAACCCCGGACCATGTGGATGGTAGGCGAGCGTCCTAACCGCTATGCCACCGACGCTCTTAATTACTGTACCAATTAACATTTACTTTTGAACTTCTGAGATAGATAAAAATATATCAAGTATTTGTGCACTATGCACTAAACTATTCAAGCAACTACCTTACATATCAGATTCTCTAGCAGACAGTTAATCCACTCAACGTTAAGGATAAGGTACCGCTTTTGGCTGTCTCAATGTGTATTTATCAGTTCAATGTTCAGCCTAGCCAGCTAGCCAGAGCAGAAAAGTAGGAGGATACTAGCAGTTCTATCCTCCAACACCTTGTCAACTCTGGACATTGAGTACCTCCGCAGAACTGCCTCACACTGTTCCTCAATATCGCACGAAATGACTTTGAATACGCCGTCTATAAATAGCTGAATCATTGGCTGGCTATTGGGGATTTGAAACCAGACATCTGTGTTCAAAAGGACTACATACATTCATTCACCCTACTATGACCAAAGTAACGTTTTTACTGCATTTTGCTTCATTTCACTTTGTAAGTTTATTATCATTATTATTATTTTCATCATCTTTATTTTACCATCACTCTATTATGGTTTACTAATAATAACACATTTTCATTTAGATTTTATAGAAACTCTATCAATACATTTGTGCGTCGGTGGTTCACAATAGTAGAATCATCGGCAACGATATCAGTGATCCGAGTTCAATTTCCAAAAACAACACCTTTCTAAACCTCGTCCACTTTACTAGTCGATAGTAAATCTGAATAGGGGATTAGCTTGGACGTAAAGCTAACAGCCCAACCCGCAACCCAAACATTAAAGCTTATTATTACTATTATTATTATTGTTTCCTTTAATTCATAGAGGAGCATAGGGCTTCAGCCGTGCAGCTCCATTGCGTTCGGTTCTCTACTGCCAGGCAATTCCCTTTCACTGTCTTCACTCAGCAAGGAGTTTTCTTACAGTAATGAAAGGACTGGTGTAGAGAGAGAGAGAGGTGTTAGTAAGATCAACAGTTCAGTACAGATGGGCTCGAGGATTTAAAAGAAACTAATGAGGTATAGATCGGTAACCAGAGAAATGCAGTAAGTGATGTTGTTTGGTTGCGATGTTTACCAGACCATAAGTGACAGGCTCACAGCAGAGTCGTACCTTACGACTGGCCAACCGGGTATTATTTATCCCAACCTTCACGTGAATTACGTAGTGCATCTACATATGGTGGTGGGTGAGCATATTTTACACGATTAGTCTTTTAAACAAAAATACAAACTAAAAAAAACAACAACTAATCAACATACATTTAACAGTTGGGCAACAGACTGTCCAAATTGTTGTTTTTGTTGTTGTTCACTGTGGTGATTCTCTGAACGTTTATTTTTATTATTACTATAATTATTAAGGAATTGAGCATTCATCAGGGATATGCAAATCTTCTCCTTGCTGTATAAACATTTCATTGCCCATTTTAATATAGTAATAAATAAAGCCAACGTATCGAGAACTTTTGAATCCATATTAGTACTACTATTATTATTATTATCTGTATATGTGGGGGGAAAATAAGAAAAGAAAGAAAGAAACGATAATCACTACTTATATATAGAGAGAATGTCATACAAAGAATATCACTGTAAGAAGGAAAATATAGTCATGTTTTGTTAGTTTATTAGCAACAATGAATACCGGCAGTGCAGTGCAGTGCACCAACGAAAAGAACCATGTTGTCCGCGATTTGCCAACTTACCTACCTCATCTCTGGGGTAGATGTGATATCCGATCACCGATGAATGGATGTGTGCATTGTACAGCGGTTCGCTCTGTCTTCCTTTATGACTATAAGACATGGCTCTTGAAACAAAGGAAGGTAGGAAAAACGTGGGCTATCTTCAAGCATTCCATGTTCGCATTCTACATGTCATGATGTTTAAGCGGTATAATATAGTGAGTAATATACTGAAGTTGGGCGTAAAGGGTTACTTAAGCCCATCAATAAGGTTGTGAAGCTACGTTGATTGAGATGGCTAGAATACCCGTCACGAATTCCAAGTCACCGGAGTACATGTCGCGGAATGTTAGCCGAGAGAGAATTAGGCTGGAGAAGAATAAGATGCCCGTCAAATGAAAACATGGCATCAATCCATGAAACTTTTTACTGCTTGTTGTCTGTGCCACATAGGGAGGTGTAGACCATGTGGTTTGGGAACTTCGGAATGTTAGGAAACAACGGCTTCGGACCATTGCTAATAAAGCTCGAAATCGTTCTCAACAGAACAAATGTATTCACCATTTGTAGTCTCCCCTACCTATTAAATTCTACTGTTTTTCAATTTTACCATTCTCTCTCCTGAAACATTCCTGCTCATTAAACTTCTGTGGAATTTCTTTTTTCTTTCATTTATCTAGACGTGTGTGCTACATGGAGTGTGGCAACTTGAAGTGAAGCATTGCCTCAACTACAGGAGGAACGGACAAGGATGTCAAATCGAGCGAGAATCGGGAAGGCGAGAAACCCATTCATCAACCTGAAACCAATCTGGAAATCCTCTTCACTCAGCATCAACAACAAAATTCGGATTTTCAATACAAACGAACTTGATATGATTATGAGCAATAGTTTGTGCTCGAAACGTCATCAGTTAATATAACTGTACTACACTGTGTGATTTATCAAAATAAATTCTTATCCATTATGAAACGTCAAGTCAGTCAGTTCTTCTATACGGATCAGAAACTTGGTGGGTCACATAGAATATTTCCAACAGCCGGTTGCAGACATTTATCAACAACTGTCTTCGCTATATACTCAAGATCAGATGGCCGGAAAGAACAAGAACCAACAAGAAACTATGGGAACAAACAAACAGGAACCAATCGCTCAACAAATATGCAGGAGAAAGTGGAGATGGATTGGACACTCGCTGAAGAGGCCCCTGGGTGACATCGCGCGTCATGCCAGTGCTCGAGTGGAACCCGAAAGGGTGACATGGAGGAGATCGTGTGACGAGGAGTTGAAACAGTATGGACTAACATGGATGCAAGTGAAAAGTACAGCAGAAGACAGAAGCAAGTGGAGACGTGCAGTTGAAGCCCTATGCTCCACTAGGAATCCAAGGGAACAATAATAACTTGAAGTGATGCATACTTCTGTGCACAGTTCTATGTGGGAGCTGAGCCAGTCTTTACAGGTTTCCCAGACAGCAAACTTTCATCAACAGCTGCCTTAGTTCTATACTGAAGATGATCATATGACCGGCCAGAAGTGATAAGCAACAAGGAACACGTTTGGCAACGAACCAACCAAGAACGTATTACCCAACAAACGTGTCGAAGGAAATGAAGACAGATCAGACATACACACTGAGGAGACTGTTAAGTGACACCAAGCGCCAGTCTCTCAAGTGGGAGCTAAGTAGGACAAAGACCAGTTAGCTGTCATTCCGGAGGTGACCTGCAAATTGTGTGTCATGAGGAGATGGAAGCTTACGGGCAGTCGTGAAGGTCGTTAAAAACGACTGAATAGAACAGGACGAAATAGACATGTTCTGTTGAAGGCCCATACTCCATTCGGAAAACAAGGTAATAAAAGTAATCACAAACAAAAGGAATCAAGATAGAAATCTTCCAGATAATCAGGAGAGAAAGTTAATTAGTAACTGAATATAATACACAGACACGGAAAACACATAAGCACTTTTCGACTAAAGTCTGTCACAAAATCAAGTTTAACTGAAGTTACATCTAAACAATACACTAATAATATTCATTAGCAAATGTGCAAGATATCAAGGCTTAAATATCAAACAAATTACAGTGGGAAAAAAGCCTGTTTTCATTCAACTCGATTTTGAAGTTGGAAATATTGCAGCAATAGGCAACAAGAGATTGAGTACGTCACTAGCTAGAGCCTATCCTGCAGCTAAGTTGATTCACATCCATCGGATAACATGCTCTTTGGCGAAATCAAAAGTCGACAGATACCCTTCTGATGTTAACAACTCCAACTGTGTATCTGTGGGAGCAGTTACATTGGGAGAACAGAAAGAAGAGCACACACCTCCGATTTTCTGAACATGTACCGAAAAGCGCCTACATCTCAAGGGAACAAACGCTTACAATAGTGACATTACCGGGCATCTTCGTGATACGTACGGGTCATGAGGTGGAAATCGCAAAATCCTTTAAAATTATCAATAGGCAAAAAGCTCAACTCTCCTCAAGTTTGTCGAAGCGATCTCTATCAAGTGCCTGAAAACCAATTTATGTGTTCACAAAGAATCAGTTATATCAGCAGTCATTCCTGGCCAACCTGGTAACTGGATGCCTCCCTGTATTCCCTGTTTCAGTTGATCACGTAGTCTTTGGATTTAGCCTAACTCCCCCCCCCCCTTTGATACAGTGTAATTTTGCTTGTCTCTTGCTTCTATGAGTTGAGTTGAGCTCAGTACATTGTTACCTAATTTATTAGTCAGTCATCTATCATCTTACGCATCGCTCCCTTATCATTGAATACAATACATTTACTTTGCTTAAACTTGAACTGCCGGCGTAAAAAACGATATGAGCGTAATTTCTTAGCACTACTGTTCAACTAAGTTCGGAACTTCCTGTCAACTGGACATCCTGTAAAATTTGCAAGTATGTTAAGACTTTTCTGTACATAAACCTAATAATAACAACTTTATTTAGGCTGTAAGCAGCTGATGAGAGGCCAACGAAATAAATGATGTTAGCATATTATTCTGCAAAAGCTGTTGTTTTTGCTTTACTCCAAATAAATATATAGGGGAATACATGTATGAGCACACTTATAAGTAAGACAAAGACACAATTTCACTACTCACCTTGCTTATACATATTTGGAGAACTATTGAAGAATTGAAACAGTGTATGCGTAGACCACTTGTTCAATCCATCGGATGCAATGGTTCTCAGTTTACCCTCTGGTGTACTTAAATACGATGTCAGCACACATAATAAATTAAACATTAGTTGAATGTATTGTGTTTCAATGAATAAGTATTCAAAGGCTAGACAACTATTCTGGAATTTACTTCGTCTAGACGAGTCAACATCATCACCATAATGACTAGCCGTAGTGATAGCAGAAGCATAATTAGCAGTAGAATAGGCAGTATTTGGATCGATAAGATTGACGAGTAGATCAAACGTATGACGAAGAATTTTCAACTGTATCACTTCTCGTTGTAGATTAGAATATCTGAAGTGATGAAGATGAATGGTGAGTAGATAGGTACGTGGGAAAAAAAGAGAGAACAGAAAACAAAATAGCATCAAATTTTGAAGACAAAAACGACAACATTAAAGATTTACAATGACATGATGTAGAGAAGACTTAATGAAATATATGGTGAGATCATGAACTGAAATCATTACGGGAACCCCATTGAAAGAACACGGAAAGTTGTTTCTTCTTCCCAGTTTGGGACTCCTCAACAGTACGAACCACCCATGACTCTTCCTCTCTCTCTGTCTCTTGTTTATAGTGATTCCATAACTGATGTTAGTTAATGGTTCAACTTGAAGTCAATCAAATCCCTACTAATCAATAATGCTTATCAGTGAATGACTACGAAAGTGCCTGAGATTCTAGTGGACCATTGAGCCACTGGGACCCGATCCAATGGTTCCTGAATTCTGGCAAAAAATCCCTACGAAATCAATACTTGAAAATAAACTGATGCTCACTAGCGACTGGCCCTATTCAGGTAGTCAACCTGGGATTCTAGTGGGAGGTCGTGACCAGTAGGGTACAGCAGGTCATAGATGAGGCAGTAACTCATCGAAGAAGACATTGCGAAATGGTCACGCTATGTCGTGAATTGGAGGAAGTTAGAATTCAAGAACCATTGGATCGGGTCCAAGTGGCTCAATGGTCTACGAGCTCACTCGCCTTGCAACGAGAAGGTCCTGGGTTCAAACTCCGGTGGGTGCATACTAATGAGGAGTCCCAAACTAGGACGAAACAGCTGATCGTCCAGTACTCCCATGTTTTCCAGTGGTTTTCTAAGTGATGCCAGCTCATGATGAAATCCTTCAACCAATCAAACGACAGGAATAAACTAAGAAAACGGGTTAACATCATTTCCTAAGTTTTACAAGTCAGTTAGACAAAGAGGAACGTACTGCATAGTTCTATCCCATAGTTGAACAAAAACGATTATCTGACTCATGCTTCCCCTCCACATTCTAATGTAGTGTTGTATTGATATACCCAAATATTTTTAAAAATTAAATTAGTTAATTGTTAATGAGGGCAAAGAAGACGTCAACTCAAAGATTCTTGGGATTTCTCCATAAGAATGTTTGAAGACCAATTACGTGTAACAGATCTTATATATGTACACCAGGCTATGAGACATACTGATTGTGTGAGGTCTAACAACACTACCGAAATACCCACATAGAAATAGGTGCAGCGGGACTAGAACCCACAACTCATTGGCGTGAAAGTCAAGCCACTTAAGCCAGCCGCCAATGAGGCAAATCTGCACTCAAAACCCTGAGAATAGAGGTAAGTTTAGAGTAGACCTAAAGTTTGAAAATTGATTACTTAAGGTTATTATATTAATAAACAGACAAATGTGAAATACATTTTGGCATAACTTACTCATCACTACAGGATACACTTAGTGAACTGTTACACGCTTGCATAATTAAAGTGAATAAATTAATAATATTAGTTTCTGAGGCTATCCATTGAATAAGCCATTCAGAATTCAGGGAATTCGATGAAAAAGTATTATTATTATAGTTGTTGTTATTAAAATCATCAATAGTGTTATGATTATGATTTATGTAAGACCAATCTTGTCGACTTAAAAAGGTTACTAATGAACTGGCCAACTGTGTTTCATTGCACATTAATGAACTGGAATGAGTATAGAGAAAATTGAACACTTGTTGATTAATTGACATATGAGTAGGACCTGGAAAAGAGAGATTAATACAAGAATGAATTTATATATATACATATCGGATTTATTTGATTGCAAATTTCATTACAAATCAGAAACATCAATTAGAGAATCACTGAAAATCAGATTGCATACGGTCATCCTTTCGGCCTAATTTGAGATACTTCAACAACAGTCTGCGCCTTCACCCTTGCTTGACCTTATCATCATGAATCCACTCTAGAGGAAGAGCATCAGGTTACCAGGTCGGTAGTCCCTTGACTAACTACTTATGGCCAATCACAGGGTTAGAATTCAAAAACCCGGGAATTCTAACTCCTGTCAATTCGTGATAGATAGCTACCATCAACCAATGCCACATAGATGACTTGTCCAGTGCTCCCTAATTTTCAATGATTCTGTAATATGACTGTTAGATAGACATAATTTTCCACATGTCATTTTTACTTGTCTGTCTGTATTTCTTTCAACCCACTTATGACCTTTGAAATCCTATTGGTTGTTAACTTTTAATTAATAAATGAAATGAGTGTCTCTCATGGTCATTTTAAAGTATATATATTTATACGCAAGTGCAGCCAATCATTTTAGATGTTTGACACGAGACAGTAAAAAATCTCCACGTTAACAGACAAACTTCTCTGCTTGTCGTCTTGCGTCGCCTTTTCGATGGTATCGTATCGCGTTGCTGTTGCTAATATTGGTTATATGATTACGATAACTGAACTACTCAGTAATAATAATAATAATAATAATAATAACAATTTGCTTTATTCCAAAACAGTACATATGATACAGAATGGAATTCTCACCATTTTTACTACACTATTGCATCCAGTTAGTACATTATCAATAAATAGAATTCTACATAGATTAAGGAAACCACAGTTCATTATTACAACAACACATTGGCATGTCGGTAGCAAAGGTAAAGCTGAATAGTGTTTGATGGTGTTAGAAAAAAAGGAGCTGTCTTATTAAACTGGCGTAAGCGAGAGAAAGAAACAAAGCAGCACATAACGGAAAAAAAGAAGAGAGAGAAGAGGAAAAGAAAGAAAAAAATGTTGTACCTATAAATGATGAGTTGGAAAGACTAGGTCCAGTTGTACTACTGACTATTTAATGAATTATAGGTGTCACGCCTAATGCTTTCTTTATCACACAGAACACGAGCTAAGTAGGATATTGTGGAGTTTTGTACTTGCTGGTGCGAGCATATAGTTTTCTATATTGGCTTCTGGGTTTTACCTGATGAGATGCAAGGGGAGAGGTGAGTTGGATGAATGGACTGGCCCATTTCTCACAGGAGTCCACGTGCCTGTCGACCAGAATATTCACAAGCTGGTTAAGTGGCACGTTGCGACAGATAATTCATGTAAAATCCTTACATTATACAAACACAGACCTGGTTCATTTTGGGCACCAAAAGACAAACTTCACACAAATCTCGTAGTTGGTACCAGGGCTGCGATAATGCATGGATGACTACACAGAGATAGGTAGTTGTCTTAAAAAACCATCCACCCTCAGAGGTCTTTGACCTCAAGTGTGATCTACAGGCGGTGGGGCAGCGTTAGTAGCTATGTTCCTTTCGCTGATAGTGATCAAAAACAGGTTAATACGTCATTGCATCCTTCCTGACCTGGAGACCTGTACACCATAGGTTTAGAATCATGATTCTCCAGCTTCCCTAGGTATACCGGCATATCCACCAGTCAGTTGTAAGCGCAAGACGTACATTCACCCTTCCACTTTTAACAGAAACACCCTAGTCAAGTGAAGGCGCTGAATACGACTTGTAAGGCAAGATTTCATTTACCAGAATATATGCAACAATTATTCTGTAAGGGCTTAATAATGCTAACCAGTACTTAGATAGAAGATAGTCAGGTTGAATTCGAAGCCGGAAGGCATTCACAGATAGCCGAATGCTTCTGTCATATCTCTATCTCTTACACAGAGTCATATTAATGCAACTTTTAGCAGTTGGCAGGAAAAAAAATTAAGGAATGATACGAACGAAGATAACGGAGTCAGCAAAAATATAACCACATATGGCCAACTGCTGTTATTATTATTATTCCCTGCGTTCCGAGTGGAATATGGGGATTCAACAACACATCCCCACCTTGTTCTATCTTTCTCTGTACTCTTCAGCTGGATCCACGGTTGCCAAGTGCCAGTTTCTGACCCAATAGCCGAAGTGCGTCGGTGGCATAGCGGTTAGGACGCTCGCCGACCATGCACATGGTCCGGGGTTCGATCACCGGCCGCCGACGCACTCCTTTACCTCCTAACCCAGAATAATGCTGGTGAAGATGAAAGGTTGGGCTGAGGCTAGCAATCCATCCTGTAAAATAATAAACGCTGCTACCGAAACTTCAAGCCAAAAGTTTGAAGCCTTATGTTCACTGGGGAACGTGAAGGAAAAAAAATAGTCGAAGAACTGACTTAACATTGATGTTGAAAAATCCTAATCTTGTTCTTTATGCTTGCTGGAGTGCAGAAGATCGAGAAACGATCTTGTTGTCCAATTTTGGGTTTGACATCTTCATCCATTTTGCCTGCTTCCTAGATAAGCGGGAAGAAACCTCTGTCATCTCTCTCTCCGGCTGACGGTGATTGATGCTGGTTGTTACTGCTGTTGGTTGATTATCTTCATCACATCAATCCTCTAGGTCCACCTGGAGCCTGAGGGTCAGCTATTGATAGATCATCAATTTACTATTTACCGTCTATGCTTACGTGTTGTTTAGATATAAGAGCGAGTGTAGTACCATAAATTTAAGGGAAATACAACACTCAATTACTATAGCGGAAATATTGGTGTTTAAACATAATTACGGGGAAAAGACCTTGCATGTATGAGGCTAGGAGTCAGACTTATGCTGTGAAGGATCATGATTAAGTGACCAGCCTGACGTCGATGGAGTAGGATTCGAACCTCAGGACCCAATGCCTGGAATCAAAGTGTCTTAGACAGTCAAACACAAATAGTGATCATATCTACTTTAAAAAATGAAGCAATAATACTATGCAGAGTAAAACAGAATAAACTGTGAGTTACAAACACATATACTTGGAAGACGAAAACGAAAATTTTAAGAAAGGTGGGTGGGGGTAACAATGACTCACCTAATGAATTCAATACAATTTTACAAAGCCTCAAAGTAGGCATCAACGCAGCAGCCCAGGTGATTTTCAACTCTTCATCTTCACTTTGCAGTTCTTGATACTGACAACCAGACTCTACACTGCCTTTACCAATAATGATTAATTCAATGATATCCCAATATATGTTGTAATTATTATTACCATTATCAGTTTTACTACTAACACTCAGCGGTGATAAACAATGTAGATGTTGACATAATGCATGGAACCAGTTGAAATCAGCTGTGATGGATTCATCGACATGATTTGAATAATTCATAAAATTACTACTATTATTATTGGTAGTAGTATTGTTAATATCTTCACAAATATATAAATTATCTAAGCCATAAGCATAACAATTGGTTAAATTGGATAAGGAGAATAATTCACAATCGGCTAAACGGTTCAATACACCATGATTTGCTAAAACCTGGAGAGAGAAAAAACAGAAGAAGAGAAAATTGGCAGGAATAACATGGTGAATGGTGAACAATGAATAACTATTCCGGGTATAAAATTGTTTAGATCTTCTCCTAATTTGATAATAGAACGACGATTTCATGAAGGATTTCATCATGAGCTGACATCAGTTAGAGAACCACTGGAAAACCTGGGAGTACTAGACGATCAACTGTTTCGTCCTAGTTTGGGACTCTTCATCAGTACGCACCCACCGGGATTCGAAACCAGAACCTTCTGGTTACAGGGCTAGCTCCTGGGTTCGTACCGATGAAGAGTCTCAAAATAGAATGAAACAGCTGCCCAGTATTCCCTGCAGGTTTTCCAGTGGTTCTCTAATTGATGTCAGCTCATGATGAAATCCTCCAACTAATCAAACAAAATCCCTACAAAACCAATTCTTGAAAGACAATTTCTTGAAATAAACTTTATAGGTAGAGTAATCTCAAGAGATTTCAGAAATATTATTTGAAACTAAAACCAACAAATTGGCTGAAGAAGTAGGCGGCGAAGACAGGACTCCTGGTGAACACAGAGAAGACGGAGATGATGAAGATAACCAACCAACCAACAACGACCAACACCAATCACCACCATCAGAAAGGCAAGAAAAACCTTCTTTTTTTCTGGAATTATTTTTGAAATCTTCTTCACTCAACAACATAAAGAACAAGATTGAAATTTTCAACACAGATGTGAAGTCAGTTCTTCTACTACATGCGTCAGAAACTTCGCGCATTAAGAAAAGCATTTCCAGCTGAGGAGGACTGCAGAGAATTAGACAAAGTGGAAACGTGCTGTTGAAGCCCTAAGTTTCACTCGGGACCCAAGGGAAAAACAACAGTAATCAATAGTAATTTGGCTCTAGTGATTATTATTATTACCCCAATAATCATTCTTTGAGACCTGAGCGGAACATCTCCAACTGGAGCCATGACAGTCAACAAGCTTCCTCATTTCCTCCTCACACGATCTTTCTTCCTGTGAAACTAGGCCCAACTTGTGCCTCTCATTGGCGTTCCACTCAAAGGAGGAACCACCACATAGTGAGTGACATCACTCACGAGGTCTCATCAACACACCTATATTTGATTCTGCATATATGTTGGGTAATAGACTGTTAACAGGTTCTCTGCCAGAGTTTGTTGTTGCCAGCCATCTGATCTTTAGTATTCAGCGAAGATGAGTGTTCCACAAATTTTATCGTAGCCTGATAGAAATGCTTTCAGTGACGCATGTGCTATCTATTTAAACCATATAAAGGTACTGACTTGACATTAATTGTGACAATTGTCATCTTGTTCCCTGTGCTAAGTACTTTAGCTCTGCACACTGATTTCAGAGTAGTGAACGCCTTATCTGCGTTCCCGATTGTGATATCCTCATGCATGCCAAGCGCAGTTTTTTTCCTAGGTTGGCGTAAAGAGCACAAACTCCCCCATAGATTTCTCCCGTTAGTGCTGATTCATGTTTGCTGTTGTCAGTTGGGCACATTCATCACCTCTACTTACTCTAAACTTCATGTGTTCATATCAAATTGATAAGGATGGTGAAGAATAGCCTTTGGTAGAATCTACGACAAGGTTTCATACTTACCCTGTTCCACACCACACTATATTATTTTCAATAGAAAGGGTAACCAGTGTTATACGACGTTTCAAGGTAATTGTACAATTTCTTGAATGCACGATTAAGCGAAAAAGTCATACAAATTAAACACCATATGCACTGCTTGAGGACACCTGATACAGACAACTCCTTAATCCAGGTAATCATTAAGGTTAGGACTGATTTTAAAATAAAATATGCATATGTTGGGCAATCACAAGGGGCACCTCTTAACCACAGATTCAGATTGTTCAGATTTTTAAAAATCATTATGAAGGCTACATAAAAAGCGAAAGTATGTGTGAAAAGCGCTGGAATGACGCATGTGATAACAACAACACTTATACAAACAATCGACGCTGTTCACCTACAAATTACATGGAACAAATACTGTCATCAAAAAAAAACAACACTGAATCATTTAACTATGAAACCAGGTGAACTGAAACTCGAATTCGTACACCGGTATTTTCAAGCAACCAGTGTGTATCAAAACAATTTAAACAATCAGAAACACACAAAAAAAAGGCGAAATTTTACCTTTGCACCAGCACGTGAACTGCCTATCCTGCAAAGAAGTGACATTTTCGATTGATACAACAAGAATGCAGAGACAGTATTCGGTGTAGACTTGTCATTCACATCGACTGGTAGCTGCTTGTTCAACTGTGGATCATCATGTATTCTAGCATCAGTAGATGTTAAGAATTTAGTGATTGCATTTAAATCATCAACTATAGTCTCCAAGAGATGCTATGAATAGGCGGCAAAGAGAAGAAAGAAAGAAAGAAAAGTGACAACAATTCACGGAGCATAAACATAATCAATCATTTATTGGCATAATTTTTTATCAATACGTTCAAAACTTCGGCACCGATGTGGTAGCACGTAAATCCGTATTAATCTGTAACAACATGGCTGACTGGCAGAACTTTTGCACAGGTGTGTGCAGCAGTTCAAGTTGCCACACTTCCTTCTTGTGATACACAAAGCAAAAGAAGAGAGTAAACATAAATTCAAAAGAGAGATAATAAACAGAAGTGTGAGGCAAAAAGAAAGGTAATATGCAAGAACAATAGAATTTTATTGGACATGATATAGCACAAACGGTAAATGCGTCTGCGCCAGCCATTCACAAGGATTCTGAGCCATATCACAAACTGTCGCCAACCTCCATTGGTTTTTACCATCACGAGGAGCCCAGCCAAGAGGCCAGTATAAACATCCTTACGTGGCTGGCTTAACCAAACTTTTGTGGATTTCACTGACTGATGAATCAATGTTTTGGTTTGACCACCACTAGCACCTCTTTTCCAATCTGATCCATCCCATGTCAGCTAACGTTGCCCGTCGAGGAAGGCTATCGATGGCTAGACATGCATACGTAACACGTTCCACCAACCACTTCACTCCCTACCCTTAACCTAGGAGTCAATGTAGTCTCCAGTCTTGTAAAATCATCTTGCATTTGACAAGAGCGAATCCCATGCCAAACATTCGAAGATTGCTGCCCCTAAATGGGTCCAGGAGACTCGGCATTTTGCTAGCGTTTTCACCTAGAGGGACTATATCATCTGCATATTGTAAGTCAATGAGACTATTATCCCCTGGTAACAAGTCAATCCCTGAAGTCAGTTAGGGTCAAGTCTATTGGTACATTAATGATAAAATTAAGTAAAAATGGGGACAGTGGGCATTCCTGACGTACACTACTAGTTGTCACCACTTAAGATGACAACTCGCCATAAGCTCTCACCTGGCGGCATGAGTTCAAGTAGAGTGCCTTGATTAGTGCAATGTATTTCCTCGGCATTTCCTTTACAGCCAACCATTGTTATAGTTTCCCTCGGTCGACGGAATCGAATGCCGCTTTCAGGTCAAAAATCTGTCGGAGAGTGAAGATATGATCAATACATCCTCTTTCTGATCTAAAGCCTGCTTGATTCTCTCGTTTTTGTTCCTGCCGAGCACCACATTTAGTCTACGCATTATTATTGAGCCTAGAAATTTAGATACCATATTAGTCAAGCTAATCTCCCCTGTGGTTATCACAGGAAGCTTTGTCCCCTTTCTTGTATGTGGGAATAATCAATGACTGATACTGGCCCGGCGGGACTTCACCTGATTCCCAGGAATTGCCTAATACCTTAGTTAACGTAGACAGTAAACAGTCTCCACCGTCCATGGGCACCTCTGGAGTCATCCTATCAGTGTGGTTGTACACCAATTAAATTGGTCCTCAAAGTGTTCTTCCCAACGTTCCAGTTTGCTATCCTGAGAACTAATTATGGTGCCATTCTTCTCGGAGATTATTTCACTTATCATTTACCTTCTGCTACCTCTTTCCCTGATAAGTTGAAATAGTTGTCTGGTGTCACCTACCGCAGATGCCTTTTCCATCTTTCGCTTTTGTTGCCCACTCCTGTTCACAGTCGTTGCGAAGAATTTTTGTTAGTTTTCGTTTAAGTACCTTTCGCTCCTCATCATAATCGGAGCTCCCTGGAATCAGTCTTCTAGCGTCAATCAGTTCGGATGAGGCGGTAGAGATCCAATGGCTTTTACTAACTTTAGGTTTTAGCTTATTAACAGCTTTCACAGCTGTGTCTACAGCTAACTGTATGTTGTACCAGGTTTCCTCAGATACTCGTTTCACTATTTCTTCCTTAAATAGGGACTCAATTTCTTGATCTAGTTGGGGAGATTTTTAAGCACCTCACTTGCAGAGTGTCACCTATAAATTCTAAGTTCAGCTGCAACACGTTTTCAACTACCTTGTAATCTCTGTAATTTGCTATTGGACTCGATGAAGCGTAGTGGATACCCGTTCTCTATGAAGGTTTCTTTCAGTTGCTTGAGTTCATCATCAACACTATCTTCGCTACAAGTTCTCCGGACCCATGTTGAGAGAGGACAGATTTTTATTCTTTTTTCTGTCTATGGGCACAAAACTGTAAAAATTGATCAGTTTTTCTGTCAACATCGATTTTCTGTAAATAGATCTTCTCAAAGACTCATCAGCTTTCCTTGTGAGTAACACATCAAGGAAAGACATTTTTCCCTCAGTTTATTTTTCTAAAGTGAACCAGACAGCAGGATGACTGTCATTGAATACTTTCAGGATGTCATCCAAATCGCACTTCTCGTCGCACATAATGTACGTGTCATCCACTTATCTTTTGTAGAAGTTAAGTCCCTTTATAGCAGGTGTGAGATTACTGCTCTCCACACTAGCCAAAAATAAATCTGCTAGCAACGGACCAAGTGGAGAACCGGTAGCTACCCCATCTCTCTATCTATTGATTTCACAAGGTGTAAAACTTTCAAAATATTATACAACAGCATTATTAAAGGAAGAGGTTTATCTGAAAAAAAATGTTCTTATATATTTTACCGAAATACAGAGTCTGATCATACATGCACACAAACATCCATTTGTCACCTCAATATGTACTCAAAATAGCGTGAAAAACATACTAAATCCTAAACACTGATAAGCGCGCAAGTGGTAGCGTTTACCACCTTATCTATAGACTAATATATATCACTGATATGAATCACAAAAACTGATATCAAAACAGCTTCCAAGATCATATTTTAAGTAGCAGATAAGGACAGATATGCAAATCGAACCCAAACCACTTATGTGGTTAGCAGGCTTTTTACCATTTGAACGGCTGACTCGCTCCTCACTTTTGAAACCCTAAATTGAAGGGTGGTAGCATGTGCTCATATGACCAGACTGTTGAAAATACATCACGAAAATGCAACACACACACAATCCTTGAAGACAAATGCCACCACCTTTGAAAGTATCACTTGCTATCCAAGTTTAGTAAAGGGACAAAATGTTGCAAAATATAAAATTTTAAAAAAAACAAATACAAAATAACAAAAAAAACTTACCTCAATAGTTCCTTGACTGTCAATTTGTGAAATCAACTGGTGTGAGCAACGATCAAATGAAATTAATAACTCCAATAAACTCATTGCAGCCATTTGTGTGATTGTATGTCCATGGATTAAATCAGTCATTAGCATAGAATGCAGCTGACTTAAATCGGGATCGCTCATTTTATCAGAATGTAAAGTATCCGGCATGGAAGAAGTAACAGAGGAAGAAGAAGAGGGACTGAACACTGAGAAGCATTCAGATAAGGATTTACAATCGGAAACTGTCGTTGTATCTTCTTTTAACAACTGACCTGAAACAAAAAATGATCGAGATAAAGAATGCAAAAATATAAAGTTCCTTTGTGAGGCGATTAAACTTGGTTATAACTCAAAGCGCACGCGCACATACATGCATCACTTAGTTACCCCCCATGTATGCACAATCAGTACTTGTCAGGATATCTCAAGTTCACTGAAAGATATAGAAATTCGACAATTCACCCATTGAATAATGAGAATGAAAGCTATACACACAAGGTGGGGGGGGGGGTTGTACAACAACTCAGAGCAGTATCCAATGCAATCATGTGTCAAACACATGAAAATGCATTAGCTGCTGCTGCTGCTGAATGTCAGCTTTTTATTTTATTCCTAACTGCTTTGAATTCATTGGTACTGTTGTACTTACTGTTATTTGGACAATGGTAAACCAGTAGTGGAATTCAGCACACCCACATCAACCTTTCTAGAATTCGTCAGCTGGATACGCCAGCAATGCTCGCTGTGGTATGAGTCCCTACTGGGCTACACTCGTAGCACCTATCGTTCCAAGAGCTATCATCCACTAGGCTATTTGGGTCGCAGGTTGAAGGTGAGGCAGTAACTCATCGAAGAAGACATTGAAAAGTGATCGTGCTATATCATGAATCAGCAAAAGTTAGAATTCATGGGCAGTTGGATCGGGTCCCAGGGTCTTAATGGTCTACGAGCTAGCTCACCTTGTAACCAGAAGGTCTTGGCTTCGAACCCCAGTGGGTGCCTACTGATGAAGAGTCCCCAAACTAAGACGAAATAACTGTCCCGTACTCCCAGGTTTTCCAATAGCTCTCTAACTGATGTCAGCTTATGATGAAATCCTCCAACCAATTAAACAAAAAAAATAGTTGAAATACTACTAATGTTCATAATAACAATAATAATAATAGTAATATATGTGCCCTCATTACTCACTCAGACTACGACAAAACCGTATCATGTAACATAGGCTCCCATAATAATTGGCACGCATACGTTGTGTTGATGTTTCTAAAGTCGGAAACAAAAGAAAGAGAGAAAAAAGAAAGGTAACAACATAAAATGTTTAAAAAGTGATGGAGACAAGTGGTTAACGGTGTAGAAAATAATTTGACCGTTCCTCAAGTGACGTGATATTCAAGCAGCAAAATGTATTAAACTGTGTTACCTTGAATGGTGACCCTTTTTTTCACAATGTGCACTATACACAGATCGAATGGTGAAATTCCACCGAAGTTTGCTTAGGATAACGCAAGTTATTCAGATCACAATATGTGTGAGATCTGCTTGATAGCATAAAATGGTAATCAAGAAAGCAAGCGTATTTGATATGAGTGGTATACAATCATACTATTATTATTATTGTTCCCTTGGGTTCCCAGTGGAACATAGGGCTTCAACTGCACGTCTCCACTTGCTTCTGTCTTCTCCTGTACTTTTCACCTGCATCCATGTTAGTTCATACTGTTTCAGCTCCTCTTCACACGATCTCCTCCACGTCATCCTTGGACGTCCCACTCGCCTCTTACCTTTCGGGTTCCACTCGAGCTATGGCCTGACGCGCGATGTCGCCCAACGGCCTCCCTCCTCAGCGAGTGTCCAATCCATCTCCACTTTCTCCTGCATATTTGTTGAGCGATTGGTTCTTGTTTTGTTTGTTCCCATAGTTTCTTGTTTGTGATTCTTTCCGGCCATCTGATCTTCAGTATAGAGCCAGGGAAGACAGTTGTTGTTGATAAAGGTCTGCAACAGGCTGTTGGAAATATTCTTTGTGACCCGCCGCCAAGTTTCTGATCCATCCGTATAGAAGAACTGACTGACTTGACGTCGTTTGTATTGAAAATCCGAATCACTTTGTTGTTGATGCAGGCTGAGTGACGAAGATTTCCAGATTGGTTTCAGGTTGATGAATGTGTTTCTCACCTTCCCGATTCTCGCTCGATTTGACATCCTCGTCCGTTCCTCCTGCAGTTGAGACAATGCTCCCTAGATAAGTGAATGAAGTAACCTCTTTCAAATCCCTCCCGTTGATGGTGATTGGCGCTGGATGTTGCTGTTGTTGTTGTTGGTTGGTTATTTTCATAACCTCCGTCTTTTCTTTGTTCACCTGGAGTCCTGTGTTTGCTGCTTCTTCGAGAAGTTTGTCGGTCGGTTTTCGCTTGTAAGTCTTTGATCTTGCGTGACATCAAACATAAATCATCCGCAATCAGAAGTATATTGCAAATAGTGAATTAAATCTGTAGTATCGATCACCAGATCGTCAAAGCAACCAGCTAGCTGGAAATCGGGTGCGGTTCGAACACTGTTTCGGCTGTCTGAGCTGAATCAAATCTGGTGGTACACACTGATGACGAACTCGACGACGCCAAACGAGCGAAACGGTCGTCGAGGATTCAGATGATCTTGATCTGCCTAGGAGGCATTACTACTGAGTTGATTTGAGGGGTATACAAGTACCAATCTCAATGAATCAGTTGTATATATAGTTCTATGCAATTATGCTTGCTTTTTTGGTAACTTTTTGCACAAATAAACTGATAATCTTCACGGCTATAACAACCAAAATCTACCTTTCAACTCGTTTTAAAACAATTTCATTTTTGGAAATGAAACTGATACAGCATTTTTGGATATTAAGGTTTTTGGTTGTCATATGAAACACCTGACTTATTTGCATTACAAGTTCGTTGAAATAGCCAGCGAGAATTCAGATGATTCAAACTGGATCTAAACAACACAGACACGATTGAATAAGCTCAAACCAACACCAGCAAAAACAGTCACACAATGCAACTAACAATATTTCCGTGTGTAATTCATTCACAGTCGACGAGACTGTGAAATTACATCGACTGAGATGGTTAGGACATGTGTTACGCATGCATGCCTAGTAATCGCCTTCCTCGACAATGAGCAATGTTAGCTGGTATAGGGTCAGGGTGGAAAAGATCTAGCGGCGGTCAAACCAAAACATGGCACCAGTCAATGAAATCTACAACAGTTAGTCTAAGCCACGTAGGAAGGTGCAGACTGGCTTCCTGGTTGTGGTTCTCAGGACGGTAAAAACCAATGGTTGGAAACAATTGGTGACATGGCTCAAAATCGTTCTCAGTGGCTGGTGCAGATGCATCCACTCCTTGTGACTTATGATTTCCAATGAAACTGTTTTGTTCTTCGTTATTACTATTCCTTTCTCTCACACCTCTATTTAATGTCTACATTATGCATTTCTCCTACTTTCTTCTGTTGCTTTGTGTGCTACATGGAGTGTGGAGACTTGAACTGCCGCACATATGTGCAAAGTTCTATGTCGAAAAGAGACAGACAGACAGTATAATTCATGAACAGTGACTGATAATGAGATACATACAGAAGATAAAATTACATTTATTTACATAGCACGACTTATAATACGCCTTAGAAACAACAAAAGTATTGTAAATGTCGTTTGAAATTTTGACAATCAGCAGCCAGTCATTGGCTGTTTGGCTTTTGGAACACAAAACTTTTCACCAACAGTATTTCCACACAAATAATGGAAGGAAACTGGAATACCTCAAGGTGAAAAAGCTCAAGAAGCTTAACACTACGCAGAAAAAGGTTTTGATTCAAAAATCATGCACATAACACTGAACCCTTTCTATGAGAAAGCAACTAACGAAATTTAGTATTAACTTCAGCACACTTACAAATACTTCCGAAATTCCAAACCTAAATCATGTAAGGGAACTAACTCAATAACTCGGTAATTTCCTGAGTTAACTCACACACACGCCTCTCTACCTAAAATCGAAGTACAACTGAAAGCGGCAAATAATGATAGGTAGTCAAAACAACAAAACGTTAACACCTATGTAATCACTCACTGTCTACCTGATCACAAATATAGAAGTGCAGGTTATATCTGCTCTGAGTTCATGCAACTACCGTAGACTGCAGATAAAAAAACGCGCAAAATCGATTACAGTAGTGTATCATTCTCCTAATTACAATAATCCTCATAGCTATGTGATATATATAACATGACTATGAGCAATAAATTATGCTGAAAATACCATCCAGTTACTAACATTCACTCACTCATTATGTGTTATACATCAAATAAAAAAAAAAAATAGGGATACCTAAGTATATTTCCCTTTCTGCGTTTCAAAGTTTCTTTAGCAATCAAGTTCAACCAACCAAGAACCTATAAACCCAACAGATATACAGAATAAAATGCAGATAGACTAAAACATACACTGAAGCTCCCTCAAAGTGGAACATAAGCTTCGATTTCAGAGTGAAATGGAGGCGATCGTGTGGAAAGGAAATGAAAACCTGTTGGCAATGATATAGCCAGCTTAAAAAGACAGAAGATAACAGAGTGACTGACATTACTGACTGAATTTCAACATAGAACTTCACACATAGGAGTGTAGTAGTTCAGCTTGCCACACTCCATTTAACACGTGAAAGTAGAAAAACGAGAGAAAATTCGATTAAGAAGCAACAGTATGAAAATTCCCATTTACGCGCATTCAAACAAAAAAACCAACTAATTGAGCGAAGAAATATATATTCTCTGCCGATTAGTCGCTCACCATTGGCTCTACACTAATATATATAGTTGTTTTGCATCAAAATTGTACCAATCATGTGGTTATAATTTAGTCCATGAGTCCATATATGTAACTGTAGAAGTACCATCGGCCCCAACGGGTTGATATCCGACGAAATCTCAGCACGGATACAGAGGGCTAGTTTCGCATATGCCAGTTTACTCCGTCTCTGGCGTAGACTTGATATCCGACTATCGACCAAAGGGCGTGTGTACTGCTCAACAGTTCGCTCCGTCCTCCTCTATGGATAGCTGTGAAACCTGGTCATTGAGAGCGGAAGACATGAAAACATTAGATGTCTTCGATTATAGGTGTCTGCGTTCTATCTCCCGTGTGAAGTGGTATAATAAGGTGAGCAATATTGAGGTTAGCCGTCGAGTGCTAGGTAGTTGTGAGGGGAAATCAATCGACGAGGCTGTGAAATTATATCGACTGAGATGGTTAGGACATGTGTTACGTACGCCTAGTCATCGCCTTCCTCGACGGGCAATGTTAGCTGACATAGGGCCAGGCTGGAAAAGAGTTAGCGGCGGTCAAACCAGTCAATGAAATCTACAACAGTTAGTTAGTTTAAGCCACGTAGGAAGGTGTAGACTTTCAGGTTGGGGTTCTCGGGACGATAAAATGCAATGGTTGGAAACAATTGGTGACATGGCTCAAAATCGTTGTCAATGGCTGGCGCAGATGGATCCACTCCTTGTGACTTATGATTTCCAATGAAACTGTTTTGTTCTTCGTTATTACTATTCCTTTGTCTCACACCTCTGTTTACTGTCTATATTATTATGCATTTCTCCTCTTGCTTTGTGTGCTACATGGAGTGTGGCGACTTGAACTGCCGCACATATGTGTAAAGTTCTATGTCGAAAACCGGCCGACCGACCGATCAAATGTAGAACCGATGATGAGGAACTAATTGAAAAGCAGTATATTTCTTCGCTCAATTTATTACTTTTTTCTAAAATGTAATAATAATAACAACTATTATCATAAGCAGAAATGTATGCCAGGGGGGATGGGTTGAAAAATAGGGACATGGAAGAACATGACGGTCTAGTGGGTACATGGTGGCACGGAAAGTGGAAGTTTCCCAACCCCTGTGAACAGTTTTGATCCATATAAGAAGTAGCCACAAGCTATCGGTTCTTAATATCCCGAAGACCCTAATCACTCAATGTAGTGCACCACCCTACATGGCTCAAACCAATTGTCAGAGACTTTACGGTCTAATTCCAGTCTGTAGTTTGACCACCCCTAACTCTTGTCCAACCTGGTCCTATATTGGCTAACATTGCTCGTCGAAGAAAGCGATGGCTCGACATGTGCAATACATATATATCCCAGGAGACAGAATGCAAATCTTTTTGTGGGATGCAGACGTCTTGATGAAGCACAAGGGACGAATATTAATAATAATAATAATAACATGGGATTATATTCCTCTGCTACAAAAAAATACAACTTACTAGTTCTAACAATTGATTTAATCAATAATTCCATAATTGAAACGAGTAAAGGTGACCACTGTCTATTGTAAGTGCATTTAGTTATTCCAGTTGAGTCTAATAATGAACTACTAGATTTCGCGGAGATAACTGCCGATTGACAATGTAGAAATGAGCATAGTGAGAGAGAAGTACCACTAGCTAACAGCCGAATAGTCTGTGGGACTTCTTTTATCGAACATATCTACAAAAAAATTTTTAAATAAAATAATACAAGTAATGCAAAAACAAAAAACAAATGAAATATTTTCGAGGCTTTGGTTAGTTACAGATTTGATCAAGAAAACGAACCCTTTAACTAGAAGATCCTGGGTTTAAACCTCGATGGGTGAGTTAATATATGTGTACAACTTCGGTACTGTAGTAGTAAGTAATTCTATATTGATTTGTTTATTAGATATATCACACAGTGAAGCAGTATTATTTACTGGATGACGTTCCGAACAAAATTTATTGTTCATAATCGTATCTATTATTATTATTATCACTACTATCATTATTCATTTTATTTTTACATTTCCCTACACACTTTCTGATTAATTTATCAAGGTAATTATTAAGTTTCAACGCTTCTCTTATATGCCTCACTACCTGTCTTAGATTTTCCGTGGTACTACTTAGTTTATGTGCTCCATACGAAGAGGGAACGTCGGATGCCTTACGCAGAATTCTTAACAATGCTGGCAGGAATAAAAACGGCATTCAAACCCACAAACTCAATTAGAAACAAGCTTTGTCGGTTAAAGGATCCTGTAGAGCCTTTAAAAACAAAACAATTTAGTTTATCTAATACCCTGTCTTTCATGATTGTCAGGTCAAATACATAAGTCAAAGTAGTAGAACAGGGGGAGTTAGATTAATCAAGCATAAAAACCTAGCAAAATCTAGATTAGTTGACCCGAATAAGATAAGAAGTCTAGAGAATAGTTCAGCCACAGATAGCACCACATGCAATTACACACAACCATACAATGGGATGGGATAAGATGACAGTCTTAAAATCTAATGTAATAGGGTGTAGGGAGAGATTGATAACACAAGCTTTACCTATCAAATCAACTGCAAATACATGTAATAGGAATGATTCAACACCTGTCCACCCAGACATCTGGAAAATTATACTACCCCTACGACAAAGTGGAAAGAACAAAAGAAAAACTATAAAACTGAAGTTTCGAAGTCATGTGATTATAATTGATATGATTATGAACAATAAATTTTGTTCAAAACGTCATCCAGTAAATAATACTGCTTCACTGTATGATACATCTAATGAGCAAACTAATATGAAGGTGGGTGAGTTAGGCTAGAGTCCCAAATTCGGATGGGACAGTTGTTCAGGACACCTGTATTCCAATGGTCATTTAACTGATGTCAGCTGGTGATCAAACCTGAGCGTCGGTGGCACAGCGGTTAGGACTCTCACCGACCATTCACACATGGTCCGGGGTTCGATCTCCTGTCGACGCACACCTGTTATCAATGGTCGGCCTGCAAAATTTGGGCTACTGATATCACATACTTGTACCAAAAGTACTGTGTGGTTTCAAGCTATAATCAAAATCAAATTAAAATTTAGAATAATCAGTAGGCCTAAGATATACACCTACTCGTGAGATTCTTTTACACACTACTTAAGAGAGATACATGTCCCTGACATTCAGTCAATCGACATGACATCTGAACAGAGAAAGTTCAGGTAAACCTGAACAACCATTGGTTTTTATCTGACATCAATCACTTTTTTACACACTATCTTCACTATCATCAGCATAACACGTTCAAGTAGACGGTAGCTAAGCATGCACAACACATGTCCAATACGCCTAGGACATATAACTTCTTCGACTGATCACCTATTTTATCAAAGACTACACATTTAACTTCTATTCTAAGCATCAGATGGTTTCACTCAGAGTGGACAATCATACAAAGGCTGCAATATGACTAGTTCATAGGTGATTCAATGGCAGACAATACTCACCAACCCACTGAGATAGTTCAGGTTCCATTCCCAGCCGACGAACTAATAAACCTATCATAGTCGATAGTAAACATAGTGAAGAGGGATGGTTGGGTGTGAGGTCAACAGCAACTCCACCCAGTAGAAGAAAACACCACTGCTACTGAAACTTCAAAAGAACTCAAGCTTGAAGCCCTATTTTCCACTTTTGGAACGCGAAGTAATAATAAAAATATGACTAAACATAATAAATGAAAAGAATGGAGTATATCCTTCAATAAAATGATACATTACCGATATTTAGACCTTGATACCATACAGCTGCTACACGATACCAAAATTAATTTCTAACTAAGCTGATTTTGAAAAAAAGTGGATAGATAATGGTGCGTCGGTGGCACAGTGGTTAGGACTCTCGCCGACCATGCACATGGTCCGGGGTTCGATCCCCTGCCGACGCACACCCGATATCTATGGTCGGCCTGCAAAATTTGGGCTACCGATATCCATGCTGAAAATTCCATACTTGTACTGAAAATACGGTATGGCATCAAGCTATAATCAAAATAAATAAAATAAAGTGTCCACTGACGTGGCGATACCATCATTTCCGCTGGTCATTTTGAGTAGAAGAAGCTTTATTATTGACACATACAAATGTTAACTCGAATTCGATAGTTACGTTATGTATCCGTGAGGAAAGTGTGGTAATCTCCATTTAGAAATCATAGAAAACCATCATGACCCCCAAACATGAAACATTTTTGATGGTTTAGACATGTACTATGCATGTCGTACCTTTCTACTGAAATGAGGGATAGTGGGCGTGGAAGACAAATCCAAGGAATATCAGCTTCGAATCAAGTGTGTAATTGTAGTACAGAAACACCTGTTGACATGTTCTGACTTTAAAAGTGTTTGAATAATAATCCTCAATGATAAAAGAGTTACACACAATTCAGTGATGTAGGCTGTAGTATTTCTACAATTAAGATCAAGTTCTTCTCCTTGATCATCTCCAAGCTTAATAATGACTACCACTCCGTTGAAATCTTCGTTAACTTAATCTATGTCCGTGTGATTGAATATTTATATTGAAGGCTCCTACAACAGTGTTTATCACAACGTATATTCCACATACTTTTATTATCGTAGCGTTTGTAAAGTAATTCTCAAAGAGCTTTACATATTTGAAGACGTCAGTAATAAGCATCAAGTAAATACCTCGGTGTTTTTTTTACTTCGGCTATCTCCTACGGGAGGATGAGCCGGCTTCATGAACATCTCGAATCATCGCTGCCCAGGAGCGGCGATCTGACGCAACGTTTTGCGACAGGGTTATCCAATTAAGACAGTTCATGAAGTTTCATGGGAATTTGGTACGAGTGATGTCCGCAGAATCGCTCGGCCTTTTATTTGAGAGTGCAGCTCTAGCCTTTACACAACCAAGTGTGACCTACAAGGCAGTAGGAGTGGAGTAGGGAGTCCACTATCCATTGGCAGCCAGTGACCGGAGTTCGGTTCATACGCCTTTTTGAATGGGGCCAGACATCCAGGACATCCAACAAGCCCTTTGTCCATACGTCTTCCGGTGAGCTCCAGTGAGCTTCATACGCCAGTCGTTGGAGGTTTGGAATCAGGGTTTAGCCATCTCCCCTAGACTGTCATCCAATGGACAGTCAACCCGGTGAAGAGCGCCGGGCATCCGCTTTTGCCTTCTCACTTTGGTGAAAAACACCTCCGCCACGTGAAGGCAGTGAGTAGGACTTTCTCAGGAGAGGCTATGTAAGACGCCCGGTCATATGGGAGCATTTCAAGAGGTGTGCGGAGGGGTGGCCAACCCGCAGCGCAAGGCACCCACCCCCGACCATCCTGAGGCTTTGGAGGCTGGTGCCGGAACCTGGGATCGTACCGGGGACATTTAAATACTTCGGTTTGTCGATCATTTAATAGTAGGACGCTCGCCAAACACGCAAGTAGCCCAAGGTTCGGTTTCCCACCGGTGCACTCCTAAACCCCATCTAGATTACTAATCGATAGTGAGTCCAGAATTGTGGGAAGGTTGAGCATGAGGCTAGCAACCCCAATCTGTAAAATCACAACACCACTGCTATTAAAACTTCAAAAGCCCAACTTGAAGTGGCACTCAGATCCACTCAGAACGCAAAAGGATGATACAAAATGCATACACACACGCAGAGACGTTACAGCTGTCGAATACATAAATCAATAAACTAAAATACAACAAAATACTAATTCATCAAACCCAAAACAATATTGTTCCCTTATATACTCTCACCTCTGATAATAACAGAATAAGCACATCCATACACAATACAGGCATTGGACGAAGTTGTGGTTTACTATCCATAGCATTACTACTCTTGATAGATCCAACATCACGTGTTTGACTGCTCATCAATTCTGAATACAAATAACTAGATACAGAGGAGAACGATTGACCGTCAGAGATTTGCTTTGTACCACCACCATAGCCTAATTGATCAGTCATTAGGCCCAGACTAATTTCCACTGCTTGTCTCCATCCTTCGATAGCTGCCTGCTTACCAGCATACAATAGCAGACCATGCACATTACGTGTATCAATCCATTCACGTACAGCTGAAATCTGTTTAATAAGCATTGGTATTGTTGCTGAGGCCGTGGTGGTGGCGGCGGCGGCTACCGTAGAGGTACAGTTGAACACTTCCAATGAGGCTAAATGATGCGCTGATATATTAATATCGAATACTTGTTCAAATGTCAACATTAACAATTTGTTTAAATCATCACTGGTATAATTATCCAGATCATTACGTAGTCCGACTAGTTCAATGTATAAATTCATTAGAAATATTTTAAAGTGAATCATTCTTGATAAACACCTGGCTGCATTTGAATCTGACGTGACAAGTGGGCATGCAATCTCTGATTTGGCCAGTACCTACGACGGCAAAGAAGAAAGCGAAGAATAAAAACAAAATCAAATAAAAAGGTGAATTAACTGGATAATGGCTTTTAAAATAAGAACTGTATACAGATCACATAACACAGATAATTGTAAATTAACTAGCAGATATTATAAACACTATGTAACGGAATAATTCTCAGGAGACTCCCCCCCACTTGAAGGATCTACTTACAATATTCATACTTATTATTATATTATTGTATCCTTTAATTCCTAGAGGAACATAGGGCTGCAGCCGTGAGTCTCCATTGCGTTCAAATCTCTGCTACAGTCTTCACCTGGCTCCAAGTCTGCCCACACGTTTTCATCTCCTCTTCACATGACCTCCTCAAAGTCACCCTCACCCTTGCACTGACGACCAACTCGCCGCTTCCCTTTCGGGTTCCACTCGAGCAATGGCTTGTCTAGTGATGTCACTTGATGGATTGTTTCCCCAGAGTATGGCCAATCCATCTCCATTTCTATATTCATACTTACATGGATGTTTCAACCAAATTTGCATATATTCCCCTCTTTTCTCTGAAACTCTATATCATTGTCCTAACTTTTGCATATCAAATATTGAGTTCATCCTTATTATTTATCTTTCTTCTCCTGTTTAATCTCTAATTTTAATAGGTCTCTTTGATTGTTTGTGTGATGCAATTTCGTTTGACCGAATCAAGGTCCTTGCGACCTAGGATTCTCTACAGGAATTGTTGTTGAGTGATTCTTGATCACGCCGTTTTGTTCCCACCTTACTGAGAGTATACCTCCTCCTCATACTCAGGTGCTTCTTACGCTTGATTTAGTTAAATGACTATGTCGTACAATATTTGTTTTGTATTCTAGGAAAGATTAAACCTGTGTCACTGCCTTTCGTGGCATTTTTGAGCTAATTTTTACCATTTCATATGTTATTATTGTTAAGTAGTACCGTAGATTTTATCCCGAAAATAACTGCCTTTTTGTTGCCGTTGGAGGATTTTGTGATTGCGTGTAACTCAAGGTGGTAGTTCTGGTCAACTATATACAGTAGCATGCAAAGACCGGCTTCCTGTTTTGAGAATACAACAAGTCGTTACATGCCATTAGAATTCAGCTACCCAAAACCGAACCCAGGATTTCGAACCCAGGACGCAGTAACTGAAAGTTGAATGCTTAAACTCACCACTCAAATACTTTTTATAGACATCGAATGAATCGGTATATTGAATGAGTCGTTCTCACTTGGTGTCCAGAGTCGACCAGGTGTTCCGAAACAGAGTTTCGGAGAGATCTATACTATTTTACAAAGAAGGAACAAAAAATTTCCTTGCAGCTCCATATTCTGGAATATCTGAACGACTCTGGACACCATGCGAACCCGTAAAATAATTTCAGAGTCATGTACAGAGTACGCGGAAATCTTGTCAAAGAAGTACGAATCAATCAAACCACAGCATATATGACAATACATTGAACTATGTATACCGACGAAGTTTCTTTAGTCACTGAAGAACATACGATGGGCCCAATTTGTCTCAGCATTTGGTATGAAACTTTTACTAATCCTAATTATTTTTTTTAATTTTCTTATTTTTCTCCCTACCCAGTACTACTACTCTTTATGATAACTAACTTGCCTATTTCTAGTTTAGCTGAGCTCTGCACAGTCCAGTCAATTATTATATTATGTCACTCAATTTAATTGGTTAATTTTATTTTTGTTTCTACCCGATTAACGCTTTCCACATTACACAATTTGCTTTCTAAAATTTACAATTCTAATGGCATATCTGTGGAAATATTCCCTTTGTAGCTGGGAGAGTCTACAATATATATGTGCAATTATACAGTGTGAGAATGATATAGCTGAAATGAGTAACTCTTCGCTAAACATCACTTTATTTCGTATGATTTGTGTAATTGTAGACTCACAATACTTTCACAATGAACGCTTTCATCGTGGTAATATTCGAAACTGTGTTTATTAAGTTAGAATTTAATAATCTGTTACTTTCAGTTGAGAAACTTGGACAAATCTTAGACAGGATATTTTTATCAATATACTACTGATTGTTCGAATTCTGTTCTCAAAATATGTTCTCCAACAACTGGTTAGTGTAAATGCATGGTCTTAGAAGCTATAGGCTATAAAAATTTTAATTCATGATAACTGGTTAGAATCAAGCTTTTATGCCTGTATGGACCTATCGGCAAGGCAAAAAATGCAAGCTCAAAGAAAATCAAGCGTACGCCAAATACTCATCAACCTTATTCAACAGCTGTACGTCAACAGCACATGTCAAGTGATCCACAACGGAAAACTCAGTGAGGCGTTTGTGGTAAACACAGAAGTCAGACAAGGGTGCTTATTATCACCAATGATATTCCTAATTGTGGTGGACTGGATTATGCGTCAGACAGTGGGAAACGAGAAGACAGGGATATCCTGGACTGACGTGAAGAATCTAGAAGATCTGGATTTCGCGCGTGGATGATTTATGTTTGATGTCACACAAAATCGAAGACTTACAAGCGAAAACCGACAAACTGGTCGAAGAAGCAGGCAGCAAAGACAGGACTCCAGGTGAACATAGACAAGACGGAGGTTATGAAAATAACCAACCAACAACAACAATAACAGCTGCAACATCCAGCGCCAATCACCATCAACACGAGGGATTTGAAAGAGGTTACTTCATTCACTTATCTAGGGAGTATTGTCTCAACTACAGGAGGAACGGACGAGCATATCAAATCGAGAATCGGGAAGGTGAGAAACACATTCATCAACCTGAAACCAATCTGGAAATCTTCGTCACTCAACTCAGCATCAACAACAAAATTCGGATTTTCAATACAAACGTCAAGTCAGTCACTTCTTCTATACCGTTCGGAAACTTGGCGGGTCACATAGAATATTTCCAACAGCCTGTTGCAGACTTTTATCAACAACTGTCTTCGCTCTATACTGAAAATCAGATGGCCGGAAAGAATAATCAACAAGAAACTATGGGAACAAACAAAACAAGAATCAATCGCCCAACAAATATGCAGGAGAAAGTGGAGATGGATTGGACACTCGCTGAGGAGGCCGCTGGGTGACATCGCGCGTCAGGCCAGTGCTCGAGTGGAACCCGAAAGGGAAGCGGCGAGTGGGACGTCCAAGGGTGACATGGAGGAGATCGTGTGAAGAAGAGTTGAAACAGTATGGATTAACATGGATGCAAGTGAAAAGTACAGCAGAAGACAGAAGGAAGTGGAGACGTGCAGTTGAAGCCCTATGTTCCACTAGGAACCCAAGGGAACAATAATAATAATGATAAAGAAAATCAAGCCACCCCTTCCCTTTCGTTTCAGAAATTTGAACCACTGCTATAAACAGACCTGTGAAAATTAATTTATACAAAGCGTTATAAAACCATGGAGAACTTCGTTGGATAGATTAAATGATTACTTGAAAGTAACCCCAATCGATGGCTGCTACGTTGACGTGGTGATCGGGTTTGCATATCGCAATGACCCAACAAGCTACACTGGCTGGAACTATTGTTCCCGTAGGTCCTAGCATGCCAGGAAGATTGTTAGGATAGCGATTTCACTAAAAGCAGTTACAGGTTTAGTGGAAGAATTTCTATTAAACTATGCTGGGGATCTGTGACGGAAGTTGTACTGCTGGGGAACAAGGATGTAACAGTAGTGAGGTCTTTCCCTCAGATGACCAGCATGCCAGCCAGCTATGCTGTTTCTCCATGCTGGGGTTAGAAAAGGTTGTTCTAAAAAATTGTACATCCCGAATTATCCTACGGTGGTCCGTAGCGGGTGGTAAGTTTACTAATACGGAAACAAACCAATAAACGAGTTCATACAGGCCGTGTGTGACCGGCCAGCATCAAGCAGTTATCCCCTGGGCTCTGAGGTCACGCAACACTTCTTATTCTCGTTCTGTTTCAGGTAACCCAAGAAAAAATCAACTTCCACAGTGTGGGCAGCTGATTTTATCCTCCTTCTCCCGTGTCACTTCAAAGTAAATAATACCGTGTGGAGAGGAGAGAAATGGGGCAAGAGTTATCCCCCATCAAGGTAGCAGCTAAGTTACGCAGATGCATAGTAATAAAAAAATAGAAATAAGACCAAGTTCTAAGCCCCTTGATCACTACCAAAACCCCAAGATATTTGAAAGTTTGCTGTGTTTTCACTCCTTTAATCATTCTGAAAAGAACAACCTTCCTTCCTCTCAAACGCTTCAAAGTCCTTAAACTAAAGCTACACATAGAATGTCATGATAAATTACTTACAAAATACATTGAAATAATAATATCATTATGAAAAAAAATAAGATGAATGAATTAGTTAACAAACAAAAGAAAAAGAGAAACTACTTCATGAATGAGATTTGGATCAAACATTTTTGATTCCAATGGATTTGATTCACTGATAAACTCTTCAGAGGCATTAAGCAATGGAATAAAGTTGATCAGAACAGACGGGGCTAAACCAAAATTTTAAAACAAATCGAGAAAAAAAATAGGTATTCAAAAATTTCGCCAATAAATAACAAGATCTATAAAACACAAAATAATTGAGCAAAGAATATCCTTTTCGATAATTTCCTTCTCTTCTGGCTCTACAATTATATTTATATATGTTTATATAAACAGAATATTTTAAGTTAGTAGTTAATAACAATATTAGTGTTTTTTTTAAAAATAATATCGATTTGTAAAGTATGGTCAATGCTATTACAGTTCATTAAAGATGTTTAGATTATAATAACAATAAAGATATATTACAGCGAATAGAATATCAACTAAATTAGGAAAATTCCACAAACATTCATGATCATTCAAACCTAGAAGGCCAAGGTAAGGATAATGTCTGAACTAACTTCTTTCGGGTGCATAAATTAGGCTTATTAATATGAATCCCCACAGCCTCAGAAATATTTAGTAGTCGATCTCTTAAAGCGAAATCGAGATTCGTAGGTATGCGGTAAATGACCCTGAAAGCATGATTAACGTCAATCTTGTGTTCTGTCTCCACAAGATGCGCCAGAATAGCGCTGCGAATAGATTTTGTTTGACCTTTGCTTAACCAGGCAGGGTGATGTTCGGAAATTCGACGAGAAACACGCCTAATTGTACGGCCTATGTAACTGGCTTCACAGGAGCAGTTAAATTGGTATATACACATGGAAGAGGCGAAATTAGGCAGTTTGTCTCTTATTCCCGAACGCAGAAGAGGAGTGGTTTTAAAGATACAGCGTAATTCAGCAGCAGGGAATGCTCTTTTTACCACATTTCTAAGGCGATGTGTTAGAATCTCACTTGTGTTGTCTCCTAGGAACTGCATCTGTAAGAACAAGGCCTTTTTTGGAACTGTTGGTAACTTGGGCTGTTTTGGTTTTAGATTCATATTCTTATCAATAAACTTTTCGGGATAACCATTCTCATTTAGCAACCGTTTAATATTGTTAAGTTCCTCGTCAAGACATTCGTCCGAGCAAATCTCTCTTGCTCTGTGGACCAAGCACTTTATTAGATTGCGTTATTATTTCAAGGACACAAAGCTGAGATAATGTGTGTACTGGCCCGCTGATGTAGGTTTTCTATAAACACTTCTTCTTATTGTGCCGTCCTCTTTTCTGGTCACAAGGACGTCTAAAAATGAAATACTAGAGTCTTTTTCTTTTTCAATAGTGAAATTTATTGCAAGATGTACCTCATTAAATTTATCCAGGATGTTCTTTGCTTCCTATTCGTTCTTCATAATCAAAAAGGTATCATTCATAACAACATGATGAAGAGTAAATAAAAAGTGACGGTTATTATTTAACTACCATAACATAGAAACGAGAATTGAGGCAAACTCTGGACAGCTAACCTAGTTTAACGGGGATCATATTAAAAGCGCTTAAAAACAACAGTACCGATTTAGTTTTTCATCAAATACAAAATAACATGATGACATACAGTACTGACTGATTGATACAATTAATTGATTGTTAGTACTTAACTACTCGTATCAATGCATCAGTAGTATATATATGACGCGTCATGCATTTATACTTGCTTTTTGTTGGTTAGCATTCATGGTATCAAGTTAACGACATATTGTAATCAGGATTAATTCAGTTTCTGAAGGAAAAAATTCCTTTGAAATTTCACCTCGAACTGTATATATAATTTCAAAAGTGAGAATTTGATAAAGTACCATCAGGATAAAGCAATTCCCGCTGATCACCACCATTAAGTGTAAAAATGATACATTTTTATATGTTCTATCTAGTACAGAAGGAATTCTTGATCGTTTCAATTGTGAATGACACCGCTGTTGTATATGTCAACCCAATTGAGGTGAATAACTTACTATAAAGTGGACATCCCAGTTTCACTTATCGAGTTGTAATTTCGCTCCGCCTACACTTCAACGCGAACAATTCAGCGGCATCATCAGCTCTCAACTAAAACCAGCGTAGCTCATAGCCTGGCACATGAGTAAACTTATTCCGATTAGTTACAGGATTTTCATCATGAGCTGCCATTAGTTAGAGAACCATTGGAAGACCTGGGAGTACTGGACAGCTGTTTCGTCCTAGTTTGTGACTCTTCATCAGTACGCACCCACCCAGGACCTTCCGGTTACAAAGCGAGCTCGTATACCAATTATTCCGATTAATTGAGCTAAAACAGTCTACAAGTCACAGGTATAATGTGTGTGAGGGCTGATGAAAATATGACTGTTGGCCCAGGTTACAGTAGAGGCACAGTGGCGAATGAACCTTGGACTCACTAACTATAAGTTGAGTGCTTAAGCCAATCAATTACATCCTCGTGAGTTCAATCAACATTGGGTGATAGCATTTCAAGCCGTTTAACCTACGAAATCAACAAGGATCGAACCCTACAAAGGATAAAAATTATATAAACATAGTACGAAGTGACATAACCAAGTGTCGCTGCTAAATGTTATAATTTCAGCATCCTTCAATTTCTTTCAATTAAATACCTCTCGCTAGTATAACGCGATGGTTGATAGGCGATATGAAAACATGCATACGTCATAAACGTTACAAACTACAGGCTGCCAACTTTGTCTAAATTGTCCCCCTAATTGTAAAGAAAAATAATAATTCGTCATCATTTGTACCTTAGATATACTGTTATTCTGCAAAAACAAGAGACATGCCTGATAGGATCCCACACACTTTGTTATTGTTCAATTATCTTAACAACTGTTAATCTCGCATATGTGGTATATCATCATTTCCCAGGCACTTTGTTATTGACTATTACGACCAATTATTTCAAATACTGTTAGCTGTCTGTATTGGTTGTGAAAATGTATAAATACCATTTCCTAAATAAGATTCTTTGTCGTCGTAGTCGTAGTTGTTGTACTACAATACACAGTCAGAGACCAGACTTCGTCTTTTGATATTTGCGTGGTTCGCTGAATCGGAAGGTACCAGAAGCAGATAGGCATATTAGTCAGGCGCAGACAGAACAAGGCGACAACGTCCTCATTTAATTCCGCTACAGTTACAACAATGCCTGCAGATCGATAATTGAAAATTAATCTAATGCTCACCAGTGACTGACTACGGGATAAAGTTGCCTAGAGTCCCAGTGGGATGTACCAAGCAAGTCAGGTAAGAGGACTAATCCTCGACGATAACATGGACTATTGCATTCACGCACTATATATATCTCAATTCATCACAATGACTGAGTCGTCAGATGATTCACATCCCTGGCGGGATCATATGTATTTACTGTTGAGGAGTCCCGAAATAGGACAAAACCAATGTCCAATACTCCCTCAATTTGAAACATAACTTGAAGACAATCGAATCCCTGTAAGCCAACACTTGAAAGCATTTATAAAAAGGAAAAAGGTGAAAACAGTCATAAGGAACAAGACATCAAAAGTGTTAAGTGTTTAGAAAAAAAAGGAGCAACTGCTTTAAACTATATATACTTACATTCATTAGGTTGTTCCTTCGGGAGAAGAAGAGAATTATCGAACAGCAGATCTAAAACACAAAGAACAACGATTAGACTGGAAGCCGTCTAGTTCACATATATTAAGTTGAAGATTACAAACACAACAGTCAGAAAAACGATAAACTCAAAATTGAAAAAAGGATGCAGATTACAGATTTATTCGGCCGTCTAGCAAAAAACAAAACTTTAAAAACCATAACGATTAAAGCTGAACAACGTTTAAAAAAAAAACTACAGATATTTGACCAGTTTCACCTGTCTTCGTGATGGAATAATACGCGCAACATAGAACCTGAGGAGGTTATGTTAGGCAATATGTATACGGACACACTGTTTACCCTCATACCACACACAGTAGGATAGCTAAAATGATAATGATGACCAAGTCGAAAAGTCAAACTTATCCTTAGAATATCTATGTCTTGGAATGACTAAAGGTGAGAAGTGAGGCCTACAGTCGGTATTTAACACACAGCGAGAATCGTTGACTGAATTGTTCAACGTAGAACTTTGTAGTGTTCAAGTTGTCACAGTTTGGAAAAACAAACACATACACACACAATAGATAAATATGATCAAACTGCAATAATGGAGGAAAATATACGGAAGAAGGTATACTTAAATAAAGATAAGTGGACATTTTCAAAACCTGTATCATAACAGGGAGTAAATGCATTTTGTACTGTCTTATAACGATTTTGAATCATGCCCCTAACAGTAAGTAACTATTGGTATTCAAGTGTCTTGATGGCCACATTCAGGTAGTCTAAACCTCTCCACATAACTCAAACCAACATTCAACAAGACTTTATGGATTGATGCCAGGTCTTGGTTTCACCACCCAACACTCTTTTCCAACCTAATCACATGTCATTTAACATTACTCAATGGTGAAAACGATCGATGGCTTGGTATCAGTAACCACATTATACCAGTCAACAGGCGAAACAGAAGGTGAACATCTGCTGTCAGAGACAGTTAACCTTTTCAAATCTTCCACATCCAACGGCCCTGTCTCATAACCATTAAAAAGGACAGACGGACAGAACTGCTGCGCAATACACATGTCCTTTGGTCGATATCACTTTTAGGCTAGAGAGATGACGTAAGTCGGTAAATATCACACGATTTCGTCAGCAATCAGTCCGTTGCGTTGGAGCCGATGCAACTTCCAAAATATGTGAAGTGATCAACCTACTCAACCACTTGATCAGTCTCTAGCTTCAAATTATGAGCTGATTTAGACACCAGCATAATGTTACATTTGACAGGGGGTGAGTCGATTTCAAACATCCAAAGATTCCTGCTCAAGGTGTTTAGATGACTCAATATCCTCACCTAGATGGACAATATTATATGCATCCTGGTAACAAGTCAATCCTTATATCTTATGAGTCGGTCAGTCGGTCGGTTTTCGACATAGAACTTTGCACATATGTGCGCCAGTTCAAGTCGCCACACTCCATGTAGCACACAAAGGAAGAGAAGAAAGTAGGAGAAATTCATAATAGAGACAGTAAACAGAGGTGTGAGACAAAGGAATAGTAATAACGAAGAACAAAACAGTTTCATTGGAAATCATAAGTCACAAGGAGTGGATGCATCTGCAACAGCCACTGAGAACGATTTTGACCCATGTCACCAATTGTTTCGAACCATTGGTTTTTACCGTCCCGAGGACCCCAACCAGGAAGTCTACATCTTCCTACGTGGCTTAAACTAATTAACTGTTGTGGATTTCATTGACTAATAAAGCCATGTTTTGGTTTGACCGCCGCTAGCTCTTTTCCAGCCTGGCCCTATATCAGTTAACATTGCCCGTCGAGTAAGGCTATCGATGGCTAGACATACGTAGCACATGTCCTAACCATCTCAGTCGATGTAATTTCGCAGTCTCGTCGACTGATTCCCCCGCCTTACCTAGCACTCGACCGATGCCTAACCTCAATATCTTATGAGTAATATCAAAATATAATAGTATTATATGTAAAAAGAGTAAATATTGACTAGTAAAGTATATACATACCGCCAAAGAATAATTTCAGTAATCTAGTGACATGTGAACGTTGGTTGGCGATTGCACAAACACGTACTTCAATTGCATACAAACGAAGTATCCAATTTTTACGATTCAACGACAAAGCTTCGAGTACTAGAGGGCAAAAGAGAGAAGAGAGAGAGAGTAGTTGTCGGTAATTATAATGAACAAATGGCTTTATACGAAATATACATAGGTAGGTGGTCAGAAAATGTATACCAGCAGGGAATACACGACCAATCAGTGAAAATCATACAAATAGGCATGAACCTACCGGCTTTCTGACGAGGTGTAAAGCTTTCACAAATATTTCCACTGTTACTTGAACTGAATGCTGAATGACAAACATCTGACTGTAGATATTTCCCAAGCAGATCATGATTACTTCGAAGAAAGCGTAAAAATGGTTCTGATGTCAGAGAATCAAAGGCTAATTTATACAGGATTTGCCAAATTAAAGCAGTAATCCAGTGTAATGTACAAGCAAATTCATACGGCAAACTTGATGTAGACTGTAACCAATGCGAGGTTGTATCTAACAATTCAAGCATACTATGCAAACATGTTCTTTGTTGATCAGCAATACCAGCATCCTGAAAGTTTTGTTTTTAGAGATAACAAAAAAACATTAGAAGAAAAATAGGAGTTATTAGACTTGCTTAATTGAAATTAATAATAATAATAATAATAATTTGCTTTATTCCAAAATAGTGTAACAACAGAAGACAAGGGCCAGGCAACAGATTCTTTATTAAGGAAATCAAAGCATATTTATATATTTTCATGTATATTATTATAGATTAGTTAAGTAAACAAACTCAGTCTTCTGATTGGTTGTTCCTCACCTAAAGTAAATCTTTCATCTCTTTGTGACTGTTTCTTGAATGTCAGATCATCTATATGTTAACTGCATCCGCCTACGCAAAGTCTGCTGTGGTCGGTTTTGAATCAGTCTTTGTTCACATTTTCTCACGACAAGTCTTGAGAACGTTAACATTGACGTAAATTACTGTCCACCAATTTGGCTAGTAGACAGCTCTCACCACAACAGTACTTGTGTTACAGAATGGAATTCTCAGCATTTTTACTACAGTACTGCATCCAGTTAGTACATTATCAATAAATGGAATTCTACATAGATTAAGGAAATCTCAGTTCATTATTACAACAACACATTGGCATGTCGGTAGTAAAGGTAAAGCTGAACAGTGTTTGAAGGTGTTAGAAAAGTAGATGGTATCATGTTTACTGGCGTAAGCGAGAGAAAGAAACAAAGCAGCACATAACGGAAAGAAAGAAAAAAAGGAGAGAGAAAAGAAAAGAAAAGAAAAAAATGTTGTACCTATAGGTACACGCCTAATGCTTTCTTTATCGCACAGAACACGAGCTAAGTAGGGTATGGTTGAGTTTTTGTACTTGCTGGTGCGAGCATATAGTTTTCTATATAGGCTTCTGGTTTTGCCTGATGAAATGCAAGGGGAAAGTTGTGAGTGAAGAGGCTGGTGTGAGTTAGATAAAATGGATTTGGCCCATTTTTCACATGAGTCCATGTGCCTGTCAACCAGAATATTAACAAGCTGGTTAGGTGGCATGTTGCTTAAGTATTAAATATTCAAATGAAGATCAGAAACATGAGTTTAATAATGAAAAAAGGGAAAATCGAACCTCACCTACTTTCACCAAAGTTAGCGATCCCGGATAGAATCACACTAACATTACTCAGTGTCTAGGACATATTAAATGTGACTCATAGTATGCAAAAATATTTGTACTACAGGTTGACCGAGTTGATTCGCACTAGATGTTACAAGGCCAAAACTAATGTTCTCTTGCATCTGTAACATTCATCACTATGGTTAGATAATGCAGTTACAACTGACTTCAGTTATGCGTGCTAGGCACGTATTATATGAGGTCTCTCAAACTGAAGTAGGTGGAGTAGAACTCGAATCCGGGACTCGTTTGGTTGCAAACAGAGTAACTCAACCAATAAGGCGGATTGCTACCCTTATAACTGATCCCATACATAAATATCGTGAAGATATGCTCTCATCGATCTCGTTATGGACATTATCTCTTCAAAAATCACACATACACACACACACAAGATCTACCTAAAATTGAAGTTCACTGGATAATTAAAAACTCCAATGAAATATGGGGGTAAAACTAGTTCAGCAGAGGAATGATGGATCCGCAACTTCCATATACATACACAGTGACATGATGATATCCTACGCAACTACTAATACCTACTTTGAACTGCACAACTGGGTTGTATGATCAGCCCTCACAAAATAATTATGGTGCACTGGAGTAGATTATTGCCCCTCCAGTTAACAATTGGGGGAGAGTTAACTTCATTCTATCTGCTCTAACAGATTCCTGGCGCTTCTGTGCCATATATCTTCTCCATTTTCTTGAAATCTGACCAGCCTTCCTAATCCCCAGTCACCGTGTGAACATTCCTCACGCTTATTTTGGAGACTAAATTGCAGCGCTACACACATCGTCATTGAACAAAGCATATAACAAATATGAATAAGGAAATTGAAATGGATTGGGTGCATGATGAGTGATAGGATCCCACACACTTTGTTATTGTTCAATTATTTTAACAACTGTTAATCTCGCATAAGTGGTATATCATCATTCCCACGCATTTTGATATTGACTATTATGACCAATTATTTCAAATACTGTTAGCTGTCTCTATTGGTTGTAAAAATGTATAAATACCATTTCCTAAATAAGTTTCTTTGTCGTCGTCGTAGTAGTAGTAGTAGTAGTTTGTCGTAGTTGTTGTACTACAATATGCAGTCAGAGACCAGCTTTTGTCTTTTGATATTTGCGTGGTTCGCTGAATCGGAAGGTACCAGAAGCAGATAGAATAACCCGACAACGTCTTCATTAAATTCCCCTACCGTTACAACAAATTGGCGACGGGGTTTTACCTTAATCCATTGCAGTTATAACAATGAGGAGACTGGTGTGTTGGTGGCACAGCGGTTAGGATCTCGCTTCGCCAGAAATAAAGCTGGTAAAGAGGAAAGGTTGGACATGAGGCTAGCAACCCCATCCTGTGAAAATAAACACTGCTACAGAAACTTGAAGCTTCTAGCTTGAAGCCCTATGTTCCACTGGGGACGTGAAGGAATAAAAAAAAAATGAGGAGACTGCTGATTGACATCATGCGCTAGCTATAGGCCATCGAGTGGAAACCTAGTGAGGAGTGGCAAGTCAGGCATGAGGCCGAGGGTGACATGGAGGAGATCGTGTGAGGGGGGAATGAAAGATTATAGGCAATTGTATAGCCAATTAAAAAAGACCGCACACAACAGGGTGAAGTGGAGATGTGCTGTTGTAGCCCTATGATCTCTACTCGGTACCGAAGGGAATAATAACTGAGTTCAGATCAGTCGATACAACTTCTAAATTCTAGAAAATGTTTAATTGCTCAGAACTTTATAGCACATAGTTGATTATATGGTAAACAAGAGCAATGATTGTTTTAAACACACACGCACGCATACACACACACACACAAACTTAATTCGCAGATCAAATGAACTAAATGGGAAGAATATACCGACCAATATTTAGTGAATGGCGGCTGCATGAGACTTTTGTACTAAGAATATACACACGTTGGTTTAATTGCATGATTTAAAATTAGGCTAGTGGTAAGTTATCGCATCAATGTACACATGCATTGTATGCTGATATATATATATATATATATATATATATATATATATATAGACGAATATCCACTTTTATTCAGAACTGTGTTACTCGGAACGGAACAGATTTTTGATGTACGAGGCTACGAAACACGTATTGTGAGAGAGGTGGGGATGGTGCGAAGAATAGCCTGAAGCAGAATTCAATTCAATACCTTCAAAGCTGAAAAAAATAAACGACAAGATTGGACTTTAGATATCCTAGGAGCGAGAATGCATCGATGACTCTGGAATGAGCAACTGTGTAACGAAGTAAGGTTTGGTTACCTACCTCAATCCTAACCCTAACCCAAACCAAAAACTAACCATATATCCTGTTTGATATCATTACACTCCACTCCACTCCACACTTTCCTCATGGATATAATGTTGTTCATCTGGTTTAACTACCTTGCACTGACTGAACGTTCCAACGTCATTAGCGAGTTCGCGCCTATTGGGTGTGTTTAACGCTTAAATTAGCCGAATAAACGTCAGAATTTTTTACTGATAAGTTTAGTAAAAGTATACAGTGCTGTGCTTATGGTTAATAAATCACTTGACATAACCTCCTCACAATCCATCAGTAGCGCATAGTGAAATAGGCCATAAGAGTATTTTACAACCTGAAATATATGTGTCTGTGATAACTATGTCAATTTTTGAAATTCTGAAAGATACTCAACTAGAAAAGACTGGGTCATTAACTCAGATCACCTGCCGAAAGCAAGAGTTAAGGTGAGAGAAAAATATGTACAGGATGTAGTACAATAGGTATACTTGATGATAAATAAAACAATATCTGAATACATACATACCTGTAGATTTGAACGTGAAATAGCTTTACAACTATCAAAACGAAAACCACACAACCAATGTACAAGATTAGGCGCTGGATGATCCATGACTGCCAACAGGATTTGATGGAATGATATCGATATCGGTACTGAACTTGAGTTACTTGTAATTTCTAGATTTTTTATATAAACGAAATAAAAGGGTTATTTTGAAAGAACGTCAAAATATGTAGCATAGCATAACCAGACAACCCAATAGTGATAATACTTGATTACATTAATCGACAGAAGTAAAATGAAACACAAGTCCTAAATTGATTGTATTTTGTGGATGGGGACTGGCTGGGGAATCCAGAATGAGAACTTCGTCCTATTTTGGACTCATCATCTGAATGCACCTGCAGTCTCTAGTGTTCAGTGGTGTTCCTTCTGAGAATCGAATGTAAGACCCACCAAAGTGTGTCATTCACTGGACCGCTTGGGTCACAAAATGATATGCACATTCTGGATCCCATTGCTAGTCACTATCATCCACCAAGTAACTTCTTGTCAGTCCACAGACATTGTCGCAGCGTCCTTACCAAGAGTCAACGTGCCAATAGACACCGAACACTCAGGTTCAAAATAATCAATCCGTGGAAAATAGAAAAAATTAACTTGGAAAAAATAAATTCTGTCTATTTAAAAGACAGAAAGAATGGGTTCATTGACAACAGTAATCAAGTGAAAACGAAAGAAACGTTACTCGACAACCACTTGCAATTTCATGCAGTTGACAGTCAGCCACACGCCTGTTTTGCGACGGCTAGTAATACTACCCGTTTTCCCAAACTTTGGTAGGTACAGTGAGGCTCGAATCAGTAACCTGTTTGTTGGAAGTCGAGCATTTAGATTAAATCAGCCACCGTGTTCCCAATAACAACAATAAAAATAGCTCATTTTGTGAAAGGAAACTGCAGAGTTAACAATTCAGATATGCTAAGTAGTTTAATTCATGAGCTCGCCTTTCTTTGATTAACACCACACATCTAATGCCGACACCTTTCTTAGTGTATTTCTCCATCACACTCCAGCAATGACATTACGCCTTTAAGCTGTCGTGTCTTAAAACGGGTTTTCGGCTGGCTAGTAGACGCGGCTTTGTTGGGTGTGATCAGACATTATTCAAAGGTCAAAGATGAATAAATGCTAAAACGTTGAACGCGCTTTTCATCTTCACTAGCCAGCAATCCATTGAGACCTATGAAACATTCAAACATTCAAAAAGTTAGGTGATCAAAATAATTCGTCATTGCACACAATAAAATTGGGAACTGATAACGACGAACAGTCCAATGGCACGATTCAATATCTAGCTTAACAAAGGCAAAATGCCTTTCTTTACGTGGAACTTTACGTCTAACTTTGAAACTACTCATATTGTCCCATATTGACTGGTAGATAACTACTGAATATGTCATCATCGGCATCATCTTGTATGGTAGGCAGTAGTACAAGGCTAACGGTAACTACTGTCAAACAAACCTTTCGTATACTATCATAACAACTTCAGATTACTGTTCTGGAAGACAAGGTTACTTTACAACAATACCCCCCTCAAATACAACGGCATGGAAAATATAAAAGTAAAAAAAAATGATGAAGGCAACAATACTCACGATAGAACCAATCCCCAAATGCCGTACTATAATAATCATTACTAATCATTCGATTATGCGTAATGCGTATATCGCTCCAATTAGAAAAGTATGTATACGGCATGTAAGCAGTCCAACGTTCCCAGGCTTGATTAGGAAAATACCAATTGGTTGTTTGTACAGGGAAAGCGGCATCCAGTCGCGCGGCACAACTTGCTGGTGCAGGTAGGCGAGCTGAAAATGTGCCAACAGTGTGTAGTAATAAAGCTAATTCATTATCCCTGTCACCATATAACCATTCATCTGTAAAGGCAAAATGTCCATCATTGTCTAAATAATGCAGCATTGTAGATTGATCATCAAGTGAAGGACTGAATGTTGAATTAATTGTTGTATTATTTGTTGGCCATTGAATTAAATGCGCAAATGCTCCAAGCAACTGATTACGTGTTTTCTGTGTACATAAAATGCGCAAAACAAAGCAAAAATATATATATGTTATTATATTATTAATGTCCCCTTAGATTCCTAATAGAAAATAGGGCCCCACTTTGTACCATTTCATGCGGTCCTATTTAGCTGGAGGGCGACGGTTGCCCATAGTCTCTGATCTTCTCCATGTCACTCGAAGCGATGACTCGCTCGTTGTTTTCCATTCCGGTGGCCTGGTTGGTGCGCGATGTCATTCGACGGTCTCCTCAGTGTCTGCCCAATCCATCTTTAGCATGTTTGTTGAGCAATAGGTTCTTGAAAAAAGACATTACTAAGAGTAATATTCATCACAATTGGAAATATCCAAAGTGCAGCAAAACTTAATAAAGACAATAACATGCTTAACCTCAAGTATGGAAAATAATAATCCGGAAGAATAAAAATATAAAACAAATATAATCAAAAGTTATAGATGAACAAAGTGGTGTTGACAAAGTAAATACGCCAGTGAGTTATCCCAGTTACAACGAGGATAAAAAACACATTATATCGTAACGAGTTTGATCACCGATTGATATAAATTAGAAAACCATTGAAAACTACCGACAAGTACTGGACAGCTGTTTCAGACTAGTTAGAGAGACTCACTGGTAGTAGACACCCACCAGGTTTCAAACTCAGGACCTTTCGGTTACAAGGGAAGCTCATAGACCATTCAGTCACTAGGATCTGACTCAATGACCAGTCCATGAATTCTCAGTTCTACCAATTCGCGATTTTAACGCAACCACCAGCCAATGTCATCAGAGTGATTATTTGTCCTTACTCCCGACCGGGTGGTAGAAGTTAGAATTCATGGACTGACCAATGAGTCAGATTCCAGTAAGTAGCTGAATGGTCTACGAGCCACCCTTGTTCGAAAGCCAGTGGGTGTGTAATACATATGAGTTGACTTGAAGGCGGCCTTCGACTCTGTGGATCAAAAGGTACTATGGCAATGTTTGACTGTGAAGGGAGTGCCAAGAAAGTACATTGCACTAATCAAGGCACTCTACTCAAACTCACGTAGCTGTGTAAGGGCTTATGGGGAATTGTCATCTGAATTGATAACAACCAGTGGTGTCCGTCTAGGAAGTCCACTTTCCCCTTTTCTGTTTAACTTCATCATAGATATGCTAATGGTAGTATCCTTAACTGAACTTAACGACTTAGGAATCAACTTGTTACCAGGGAACAGTCTTATAGACTTAGAATATGCAGATGACATAATCCTGTTACGGGAGGATGCTGACAAAATGCAGAGTCTTCTGAACACCTTGAGCAGCAATCTTCGTATGTTTGGCATGTGATTCGCCCCTGTAAAACGTAAGTTGCTGCTACAGGACTGGACTACGTCAACTCCTAGCTTAGTGATAGGGAGTGAAGTGATAGAACATGTTGACCAATTCACCTATTTGGGAAGTTGTATCAACACCAACGGATTGATTGGTGACGAAATCTCAGCACGGATCCAAAAAGCTCGAGCTGATTTCGCTAACTTACACCGTCTCTGGCGTAGGCGTGACATCCGACTATCAACCAAGGGACGTGTGTACTGCTCAGCAGTTCGCTCCGTCCTTCTCTATGGCGGTGAGACGTGGCCATTGAGAGCGGAAGACATGAAGAGATTGTCTGTTTTTGACCACAGATGTTTACGATCTATTTCTCACGTTAGGTGGCATAATAAGGTAAGTAATGTTGACGTTAGACGTAAAGTGTTGGGCAAAGAGGGTAAATCAATCGAAGAGGCTATAAAGTTGCATAGATTGAGATGGCTAGGTGACGTGCTGCACATGCCTAACCATCGCCTCCCCCGACGGACGGGCATTACTAGCTGATATAGGTACAGGTTGGTTGGAAAAGAGTAAGTGGTGGCCAAACAGAAACATGGCCTCATCAATCCATGAAATCCTTGACAGTTAAACTGAGTCAGGTAGGGAGATGCAGACTTCCGGGTTGGGGCCCGCCCTCAGGACTCTAAGAATCAATGGCTGGAGACAATAGGTGACATGGCCCAAAATCGTTGTCAATGGCTTACGCAGATGTATTCAGTCTCTGTAATCTTTCATATTCCTTTCTACCATTACTCATTCTGTTTCACTCTTATACTTGTCAAAACTCTATTGATTCTCTTCACTCATTTTCTTGTCTGCCTTTGTGTGCTATTTGGAACGTGGCAACTCGAACTGGTAGACTTCGGTGCCAAGTTCTATGTTGAATCCAGACAGGCAGACACAGAATACAGATGAATCAAAAACTAGGCTGAAACAACTGCCCAGTACTCCCGGATTTTCCAAAGGTTCTCTAGAAGATATCAATCCGTGATAAAACTCGAAACAAAACCAATTCCTATTAACAAACTCTTGAACATAATATTATGATGAAGTCCTAACTATATCACCTACAATATATAACCGGATTTTCCAGTTGCCTTCCAAATGCCAACCACCAGATAATCTAGATTCCATGACACGGATTAGAAAATAACTGTTCGAAATCTTCACTGACAACACATATATTCATTCTTCATAATCTGCCTTAGTATTATTTTAGTTAAATATTTGACTTTGAGGTAAAACTAACTGTAGCCTGTCAGGTGAGAGAAATTTACAACTTTACTTACGAAAAAAATGACGTAATCGCCACCTATCTAAGCTAATATATACTCAGTGGCTAAGAGCGGGTAATTGTAAGTGCTGTTGTTGATGTTTGAACTCAATTACCTGGAACAGGTATAGCATGCACCAACCAAGCTATAAAGCACGCCTATTATGTGTCAAGGTTGATCATACTACCCCCCCCCCAGATGTCCACAAACTGAAGAAGGTGGAGTTGGATTCGAACGCGGGACCTCCTATAGTTGAAGGCCAAGTGCTTAAGCCACATCTCTACAACCAAAAATTGTGGTCAAATAGCAGGAGTCTTCTCAAAACTCTTCATAATTGAAAACAAAATGCACCAATACGTCGTAGTATACTCGATCCCATATGAGCACCAACAATGTGTCATTTGCACTACAAATAGTCTTAGCCTTAGTATAACAACAACAAAAATTAACAGAATTAAAATTAGATGAATACACTATACACTCACTTCATCAGATGTTAATAAAGCCAATAAATCTGTATGCGGTTTAATAGAAGCTGCTAAATAGCCAAGAATATTGACAGCACAAGCTGTATGGTCTGGTAGGTAATCTGCCAGCAAACAGTATCTAAACACAAACGAAAATAAAACAAAGCACATTTAAAAACCTTTCAGTTAAAAGAAAAAAAATATATATATAATGGTAATCCAGAGTGATAAAATCAGAGCACACCACCATTATTAAGAACAATATTGAGTGGAACTTAGTCAACAATAGTTGGAGGCTAATTGTAAGCTTGTGGACAGTCATGGAAAAATTTGAAAGTGGTGCCAGAGAACCCAGTGTAGTGAAAATGTGTCTCCGAGTTCCTGTGCTCCACTTGAAATATCTATTTTTTTATTTTGATTACAGCTTGATGCCACACCGTATTTTCAGTACAAGTATGGAATTTTCAGCATGGATATCGGTAGCCCAAATTTTACAGGCCGACCATAGATATCGGGTGTGCGTCGGCAAGGGATCGAACCCCGGACCATGTGCATGATCGGCGAGAGTCCTAACCACTGTGCCACCGACGCACATTACTCACTCCTCGTTCGTCGGTGGCACAGTGGTTAGGACTCTCGCCGATCATGCACATGGTCCGGGGTTCGATCCCTTGCCGACGCACACCCGATATCTATGGTCGGCCTGTAAAATTTGGGCTACCGATATCCATGCTGAAAATTCCATACTTGTACTGAAAATACGGTGTGGCATCAAGCTGTAATCAAAAGTATAAAATAAAATAAAAAATAAGCATCTCCACATCAAATATTGAACATAAAGAGGTCAAACCAATTGATAAGAAAGGAAACTGTAAATAGCCGCACAGTTGACAACAGCAGTTACACACAGACTTGGGTAGTTAGTGTGGAGGCTAACAACTCTCAGTAGGGGCTACCGTAGGTGGAGTGAGATCAAAACCTGTGGCTGTATGTCTGTTTACAAATGAACTAAAGCTCTACCAATCCCCAGAAGACACCCGTCTACCCCAATCACTAGCAACAATTTTCATAAAAAGACACATATACCATACGTTAGTTTGTCTCAACTCACTTTAACAACATTGGAATAAGATCTGCTTTACCAGATCCACTATTAGTTGACATAAGTAAACGTGAAACATACACAGGTAGAACAGTAAGACCAAATGATGGTAGATTTGGTAGAGGGATAGAAACATTAGAGGCAACGATATGTCCAGAACCAATTCGAGGTCTAAATATCAAAAAAAAAAATTAAAATTGTCATTAAACAGAGGAAAAGGTCAATTGAAAGAAACCATATGCAATTTTTAAACAAACCAATCAAAAACCTATTGCCAAGCAAATATACCGAAGGCAATGAAACGGATTGAATATAACTCTCTCAGAAGAATGTTGAGGAGTTAAATTAGAAAAACCACGTCCTCGAGTGGAACCCAGATGGGAAGTGACGAGTTTGGCGTTGGGTTAAGGGTGTTATTATGAAGGAAATCGTGTGAGGAGGAAGTGAAAGTTTATAGGGTGCTGAGGTGCCAGCTAAAAATGACTTCAGAGAACAGGATGAAATGGAGATACACTGCTGAATTCATATGACCCACCCAAAACCCAATGGAATAACAATAATCATAATTATATACAATTCAACAAACTATCTTTAGTGAATATAATCACCCTTTAGAAGCGTAACGCATCGATTGTTTAGTGGTAGAATGCCCGTTAACTCAGTAAGCCGTCTTGGTTCCCTTCCCTCCCAACGCCCTCTGAAACCACGCACAGTAAACTAGTCAACTGTAAAGCCGGAAAAGAGATGGGCTGACCGTGAGAATAGTGACCCCAGTACGTAAAAAATCGCACTACAGTTCCTGGGACTTCAAATAGCTCGACACAACTTATGCTCCACTAGGAACGTAAAACACTGAAAAATAAATATGACGAAAAATTTAAAAGCGCTATCACGCCTGTTATCGTAATAACTCACTGTATATTTGTTGCTATACGTCGAACAAATGTTACTAGAATATCTTCACTAGCCAGTAGTCGACGGATAAGACTTAAACCGGCGTATGTAGCACGTGTCATTCCAGCTGGTGGTCCATTCGGTAGAGGAAATTCAAGATGTCGATGTAAACCAACCTCTAGAAGACCAGTAACCTAAAATTTAAAAAGATATATATATATATATACACCACTGAAAAATTACGCAATCTTACGTAGCTTTATTCTGGACAGTGTTCATACAATGTAATGAATTTTCAGCGGTATTTATTGCAGAATATTTTTTCACTCGTCCAAGATACACAAATAAAATACAAATCGGCAGTAGGTCGTGTGACTCAACGCTGTCTAACCGGAAGCGCAAACCAATCCCCTTATGGTATTTGTTCTCTGTCTCCTTCAAGAAGTGCACGATATTTGGTTGAAAGGCAAATATAAAAAGTTCACGAGTATACTTTGATATCCAGGGACATAACCCAAGAATAGAAGCCATCTCGTGTATTGAGAAACACTGCCACCCATGATTATGCCTTTTTCTCAAGTTTCTACTAAACTTGAGAATCGGTAGGTTGCAGACATTTTAAATAGTCCCGAGAGTAGAAAATACCATTACTATTATTATTATTCCCTTGGGTTCCGTGTGGAACATAGGGCTTCAACAACACATCTCCACTTTCTTCTACTTTCTGCTGTCCTCTTCATCTGAGTCCACGACTGCCCATAATCTCTCATCTCCTCTTCTCCAAACGGTCTCCACCATGTCACCCTCGGATGGCCAACTGTTTACTTCCCATTGGGATTCCACTCAACCGACGGCCTACATTGCGCGCGATGTCATTCGACGGCCCCTTCAATATATGTCCGATCCATTACCATTTTCTTCTACATCAACTTTCTTTCATCAACTTTCAAAGCTTCATGTCCCTAAGCAGAAAGAGGAACCTGATATACGCTCTTTCCTCGAGGATTCGGAAGATATGCAGCGAGGAAGTGATTGAAGAAGAACTGCGCAATCTCCGAAAAACCCTGATGGAAAACGGTTTCCCGCCCAGGTTCATAGACAAGAATCTCAAATCTAAGAAGACTTCCAAACAAGTCCAATCCGTTCCAAAGAAAATACTTCTGCTTAATCTAGAATTCAAAGGTGATATTGAAGCAGAAATCCCTCGCAAACGCCTCTCCAAATCCCTGAGGAAAACATAATTCACCACGAGCCTACGACTGACGTTTTCTTGCAAGAAACTGTTCAGCCAGAACGTGCATGTCATATATTCATTCAGTAATTGGAAATGATACTAGACTTGTAACAGATTTATGTTGTTAAAAGAGATATTTCATGTATCAGGCTGGGAATCACAATTATTGTGCAAGGACTGAAACAGATACAGAATTATCCCAACCCGCTTACTCATTGGCTGAAAGCTGAATGGGTTTCTTTTTAGCCAGTGAGCCATATCTCCACGTTAAAATATGAATTGTTCAGACTAAGTCACCGCTTAAACTGTAATGAAATGGCCCAAGTCGAATTATTGTTATTATTCTAACATAAACTTGGTACATTATGGGCACCAACAGAATCTCCACACAAAATCGCATACTGTGTACAAGGGCTGGGATACTATCTGGAGGACCAGACTGAAACAAGTGGTTTTAATAAAAGGGACCAACCCCCCCCCCGTATCTCAGAGGCTTTGACTTGGAGTCTGATCCACAAAGCAGTGGAGCGCCGTCAGACACTACGTTCCCATAACAGTCGGTGACCAAAACAAGGTTTATATATCATTAGATCTATTTGGATACTGGAGCTCATGTACACCATAGGTAAAGAATAAAGGTTTCCTAGAGACTTTAGGTCGACCAGCATGTCCAAAAAATCCCATTGTAAACACAAGACGTTTGGATTCGCCCTTTCACAATTGTGAGGAACGCACCCGCCGCGTGAAGGCAATGAATAGGACTTATCTGGCAAAGGCTATGAACGTGTGGTCACAAAAGAGGATGTCGAGAGGAAGACCGAAGTCGACCCATCCTCAGTCATACCAGACAGTGTTTGGTTACAGGATTTCATCAAGAGCTGACATCGGTTAGAGAACCATTGGAAAACCTGCAGGGAGTACTGGACAGCTGTTTCGTCCTAGCTTGGGGCTCCTCATCAGTACGCACCCACTGGGGTTCAAACCCAGGACCTTTTGGTTACAAGGCGAGCCCGTAGACTATTGAGCCACAGTGTTTGATTTAAAAGGAAAAAAAATTTTTAATTTCAGCAAAAATTACAACAAAGATAATATATCACCTTCTAATGTAAAAAAAATCTCCTTAAGACACCATTTTAACAGGTAAACATTAAGGCGATAAAGTGATATAAACACGAGGAGGAAATCACTTACCATTCGGAATAAAGATGAATCAGTCAGAAGTTGAGTAGCCAAATGATAACCTGGATCAGTGTATGGCCAACCTGCAGGTAAATGCAACTGACTGATCAATGCTTCTGATGTAGTCGCTGCTGTTGTCGTCGTTTTCATCGTTGTCGAATACATTTCATGCCCGTGAATACGCTGTTGTTCTTTACCCATTTGAAATAGAATATTCAATAGATACGATGGCCAGTCAACGGATTGACTGATGATACCACTAGCAGTCTGGTGATTTCCAGCCTTCACATCACCAACACCGCCACCAACGCCATTCGAAGCAAATAATGAGTCTAAATTCTCCACATCTTTTTCGTGACTAGTCGTCATTAATGTAGTGATCACTACTATTGCATTGTTTAATCGATTCAAAAAGTCATTGACAAGTCCATCAAACAGAACTAAGCAAGAAGCAGCTATATCCCACTATTTCAAAGAAATTAAATAATAATAATCATCATAAGCGAGATGAACAATGTACAGTAAAAATGATATATAAATACTAAAATCTTCATTTTGAACTCCATGTTCCTACCTTACTAATGTTGTAAATATATTTAAACCATATGCTGACTGGCTACAACATAGAACTTTGCACAGTAGTGCAGCAGCTCTAGTTGCATACGAAAGAAGAAAAAAAGTGATGATGAAAAGAAACTCAAAAGAATGATAATAAGCAGAAATGTGAGGGAGAAGGGTGGGAAGATGGAAAAACAATAGGATTTACTTGATAAGGAAGACCGAAAAGAGTGGATGCATCTGAGCCATTGGGAATAATTTCCAGCTATATCTCACGAATTGTCTCCACCCATTGGTTCTTAACAACCTAAGGAACCCAACTAGGAAATCTATACCTCCATGCGTAGCTGGCTCAAACTAACTGTCTAAAATTTCATGGACTGATTGATTCCCTGTTTTTGATTGACCACCAACTAGCTCTTTTCCAACCTGATCCTATGTCATATAACATTTCCCGTCGAGGAAGGTGATGGCTAGGTAGGTATGCGTAACACATGTCTGAGCCATCTCAATCGATTCACCATTTTAACTTGATCAATTGAATCTCCCTCCTTACTTAACACTCTGCACCTAGCCTACTCACCACCCTACTATACCACCTAACATAGGAGACAGAACGCGGACATCTATAATATCAAAGACAGCTAGTCTTTGCATGTCTTCCACTTTCAGTGGCCATGTCTCGCTCCCGCGCATAAAGTAGGACGGACTGAACTGTTGAGCAGTACACACGCCCTTTGATCGCCAGCTAGATATCACGTCTATCCCAGAAGTGACGTAGTTGGCGAATTCTACATGAGCCTTTTGTATCGGTGCTGAGATTTCGTCAGCAATTAGTCAACCTGTTCGGGCTGATGCAAATTCCCAAATAAGTGAAGTGGTCAATGTACCCTACCACTTCACTCCCTATTTCTAAGCTAGGAGTCAACATATTCCAGTCCTGTTCAGAAGACTTTGCATTCTGTCAGCGTCTTCACTTATTAGGACCATATCATTCACATAGTCTAAGTCAACAAGACTATACCCTGGTAACAATTCAATCCCCAAGTTACTAATGTTACTTAGGGTCAAATGCATTAGTACATCTATGAATGAAACTAAACACAAAAGGGGACAGAATCTGTCGTAAAGGTGAATACGTGATTAGTACACAGTCTCCCTGGTCTAAAGCCTGCTTGATTTTCTCGCATTTATTTCTCCCGCATGCGAAAAAATGAATGAATAGGTGCTCAGCAAAACTAATTACTGTAGATAACAAACATCCCACAATGATGCACATACCACAAGAGGATTCCAGTGTTGGCAGCCGGGAAATAAGAACCATCCAAATACCTCTATAAACGCACAGGACTTATATGCAAGTCCATCAGTGACTTAACACTATAACAAACTAACTGATTTTTAACAATCAGAGAACAGGAAAGATCTACTCCTTTAAGTCACTTTATTGACTTTGTTTGTAATCAAGCCGTAAACGTGTTTTTATTGATTGTGGGTGAAATAGCAGTGAAATGTGCGGTGCGCATTCTGCCCCACCAGGGACTACTCGTCATCTGGATATACCTGCATCTGTAGTAAGTGATCGTGTAGAGACTTGAGGCTAGAACTCAGCAGCGATGGTTTCAAAAATACCATCAAAAAATGGCAAAGTGATGAACGTGTTTATATCCATTTTGCTAATTATAATCCAAGTTTATAAGAAAAGTGCTAAAATAAAATACAAGTTTGAATTAGTTACACATCAGGAAGCAATCAATATTTTAACTATGAGGGTATGTATAGAGGCGATAGATATGATTGTTTAGATAAGAAGGGTATATCAGTCAGCAAAGTTGTGGCTGGTCATTTAAAGTGTCTAAGAACTATACTACGCGAATTCAACCACACTGCCTTCCACGAAAAGCAGGGTTAGCAGAAGACTTGGTTCGAAAGAAAGAGGTTGGGGGTGATCAGGCCAAAACATGTTGACCTGAACCCTGATATCTGTGAGCGGGTTTATAGAGCAGGAACTTTGTACAAAAGTGCATCAGTTCAAGTTTTCATACAGAAAAAGGAAAATGTTCAAAAGAACTATAATGAACGGAAATGTAAGACAAAGAATATTTCAAGACAAACACGAACTCTAGCAGATCCCGTAGATCGCGAAGAGTGAATTAATCTAAACTATAGACCACGATCTTGAGCAATGATACCAATATTCTTAAGAGACAAATTCTTAGCAGCTCAAGGACCCCAACCTGGAGGTAGTCTGAACCTCCTAACGTGGCTGCCCCACAGCTACTATCAAGGCTTCAAGAACTGACGCCAGTTTGATTTGATCACCTCTAACTCTTTTTAACCTAACCTAAGTCACAGTTAACATCTGTAGACAAGGAAAGTGATGATGACTGCCCCAGTATGCTTAACATGTGTCCTAACTATCTCGATCGATGTAACTGGGAAACCCAAGAAGTCTTGCTTCGGTGGCACAGTGGTTAGGACTCTCGCCGACCATGCACATGGTCCGAGGTTCGAGCCCCTGCCGGCGCACACCCGATATCTATGGTCGGCCTGCAAAATTTGGGCTACCGATATCCATGCTGAAAATGCCATACTTGTACTGAAAATACGGTGTGGCATCAAGCTGTAACCAAATAAAGACTCAATTTAGTGGCCTAAAATAATTCAAACACGTAGCTGCATTCACACACCTTATCTTTATTTCTCTTCATAAATGATTCCTTTTAAAAAATAAGACTGACCACTATGGCATTATGATACTTCTGTTTTTTCATTTTATTGCTTTTCCAAAATGTGGTAATAATGAAATAATAGAAACTTCCCTCCCCCTTTGATTTGTTCATCACCATCTGCACCAGGAAAAAAATCAAGCCCTTTCTAAGTATATGAGTCCCTAAATAATTTTAAGTTACCATTACGGATACGAGAAACTACCTAGACAACTGTTATGTACTCCTGATTTTACCTAGCCCTAAAACTAGCCTAGAATAGGCTAAAATCAGCTATTACCATTCTGGCCAAATGTAAACCATCGGATTGTTTTGTTCCTTTACGTTCCTAGTGGGAAATAGGGCTTCAAACTAGAGGCTTACAGTTTCGGTAGCAGCAGTGGTGTTTACTTTTACAAGATATGGGGTTGCTAGCCTCATGCCCAACCTTCCCTTTTTACCAGTCTTATTACTTACTGGCTTAGCGAAGTAAGGGAGTGCGTCGGCGGCCGGGGATCGAACCCCGAACCACCTGAGTGGTTGGCGAGCATTCTACCGCTGTGACACCGACGCACTGGTGGAAACAGAATACTTTACTTATAATACCATTGTACAACTAAAGAGCACGAACTTACGCAACCAATTAAATTAGTTATTTATTGGCTATACTTTCTCCAAGGTACGTAATACTTGATATTCAGACAAGTGCCCCGTACTGGCCTTTGTGTATCAAACTCTAATCGCGGTATTATTATTATTCGTATCGGTCATATATTAACCCATATGAAATTTTAACATCGTTGACGAATGCAAACAGCTCATTAACTATTATCGTTTATAACAATAATTCAGATCTATTTTAAAAAGGTTAATGCAAAACAAATTCAATCATTTATACGGCTTAGAGTTTTATCGGAACTCTCATAAAAAAGAGATAAACTACAAACCTATAGGCACTATCATCTGTAATCTTTAAGGCAGGCTGGGAGGTGGGAGGGTACTTTGTCGTTATTAATTCCCTAATAATTTAAATTTGTTGAAACAAGATCTCAAAGCTCATCGTATCAGATAAGCATTCTCAAGAAAACAGCAGCAATAAAAAAAGTGAAAATCAATTGCCTTTTAAGAGAAAACAATAACTTACACGTTCCACTGGATTACGATAGGCTCGCATAGTATGCCGCAAAAATATTGTATTTGTTATAAAAGAAGTTATTGAAACAAAAGGATTAACTTGAATCATATTTCCATCATAAGCAGTAATCATAGCATCTTTAGGATCAGTAGATTTTAAGGCATTACTACTAACTATAGGATAGTTAATCAATTTTGGTAGGATAACTGTCATCAGTGAAAGAAAAGCATTTGTTAGTGGATATTCTTCAGCTCGTGGCTCGACTTCGTCCATATCAGTCTGGAAAATATACAAAAACAAAAAAACAATAAGAAGAAGGAGGAGGCAGAAATCAGTTATCCAATGAAAGGTTAATATGGGGAGAAAACAATAAAAAATAGGGAATATCCTATCGTGGAGTTGTGGATTACTGGTCCCAGTGCTCAACTTCTGACCGACCACAGTGGGTTCGAACTTCATTCCACCTACCAGGCAGTTTAATTAACTCACATATAAAAGGTGTGGTTCATTGCTAACCGGATGGTTGTTTGAACTCAGGTACCAGGAACAGGTGTATCATGTACTATATACTATACTATATACGAGAAGACAGGGATATCCTGGACCGACGTGAAGAACCTAGATGACCTGGACTTCGTGGATTATACATGCTTGATGTCACACAAAATCGAAGACCTACAAGCGAAAACCAACAAACTGGTCGAAGAAGCAGCAAAGACAGGACTCCAGGTGAACATAGACAAGACGAGGTTATGAAAATAACCAATCAACAACAACAGCAGCAACATCCAGTGCCAATCACCATCAACGGGAGGGATTTGAAAGAGGTTACTTCATTCACTTATCTAGGGAGTATTGTCTCAACTACAGGAGGAACGGACAAGGATGTCAAATCGAGAATCGGGAAGGCAAGAAACACATTCATCAACCTGAAACCAATCTAGAAATCTTCGTCACCCAGCCTGCATCAACAACAAAATTCGGATTTTCAATACAAACGTCAAGTCAGTCAGTTCTTCTATACGGATCAGAAACTTGGCCAGTGTGTCACAAAGAATATTTCCAACAGCCTGTTGTAGACCTTTATCAACAACTGTCTTCGCTGGCTCTATACTGAAGATCAGATGGCCGGAAACAATCACCAACAAGAAACTATGGGAACAAACAAAACAAGAACCAATCGCCCGAGAAATATGCAGGAGAAAGTGGAGATGGATTGGACACTCGCTGAGCTGAGGAGGCCGCTGGGTGACATCGCGCGTCAGGCCAGTGCTCGAGTGGAACCCGAAAGGGAAGTGGCGAGTGGGACGTCGGTGCAAGGGTGACATGGAGGAGATCGTGTGAAGACGAGCTGAAACAGTATGGACTAACATGGATGCAGGTGAAAAGTACAGCAGAAGACAGAAGCAAGTGGAGACGTGTAGCTGAAGCCCTATGTTCCACTAGGAACCCAAGGGAACAATAATAATATACTATGAACCACGCTTATTATTTGTAGGTGCAGTGGGACTCGAACCACCTTATGCTTAGGCCAGACAGAGAGGTCTCCATCAATTGAATGTAAATATAAACGATTATGAAGTGAGTACTCACGAATACCTTGCTGGAAAGTTTAAATTTAAAGGTAAATATATGTGGTTCATAATTTTAAGTTTAATTTAATTATTTGAAGAGCAATAGCTCTACAACATTTCATAGTTGACATTGAATATGGAACAATATTCTATCATAGGACTGAATTTTCGTTTTTACACTATATTGTATGGGATGCTTTATTCTCTCTCCTCCAATCTCTACCCAACACCACATAACACTGTGAAGAATTTGGATTTCATTTACGCCAACATTTCTTTTGTGTTTAGTGTCTTTATTTTTTTTGGGCAAAAGAAAATTTCTTCAAGTATTAGTTTCCAGGGATTTCATTGATTTCAAGTTTGGCTATGAACTGTCTTCGGTTAGAGTATCATTGAAAAACAAAGGAGTACTGGACAGCTGTTTCGTCCTAGATTGGTAACCTTCATCGGTACGAACGCATAACCCGACGAGAGATCGAACACAGAACCTTCAGGTTACGAGGCTGGGACGGAATCTAATGACCTATTAATTTTCACTTCTGCCAACTGGCGATTTGGATTCCACGGCTAAGTAGTTAACGAGGTTGCCTCGTAACTTGAAAGTCCTGGGTTCGACCTCTCGTCGTCATAGATACGTACGGCTCAAAAGTCCCAAACTAGGACAGAACAGCCGTCCAATACTCCCTAGTTCTTAACGGCTTAAAGAATATATTCTTCAATGGGAGTAGAAAGAAGGGCAAAAAGATTGACGCTCATTAACGACGATACAAGAGTATAGTTGTCGTTCATAGATAGAATCGTCTATAATTACAAAATAAACGCTAATTACTGAAATACAGCTTATTAAATCAACTGTGAGGAGATGAAGTGAGTAGTTGGAAACTCACATAATTCGATTATAAAAATGGGATGAATATTTCCAAAATTCAATATCACCTTAGATTTAGTTTATTTCCTTAATTATTATGTTACGACGCCGAACTCCCCATTAATAGACACACATGGATCTAGTGGAGTTTAACAACGCGGACTATGTTACACGGACTACTAAACAAAAAATTGGTATGTGTTACAAATAAACACCTGGAGTTACATAAAGTGTGGCGTCTTGAACTGCCGCACATATGTGCAAAGTTCTATGTCGAAGACCGACTGACCGGAGTTAAATAATAAGGTAAAGATGCGAAAATATTGTAAATTAATGAAATTTGGACCTATGTGCAAGAGAACAACAACCCATAAACACGGACGCGCGCGCACACACTGCCAAGAGTTTGATGCAGGTATTAGTATTCATAATGCAGCATAACTTCCAATGAATAACATTACAAATTAAAATACATAAACTTACATTCAAACCGTGAACAGATGATTGAGCCTGACCAACAGAACGTTGTATGTTAAAAGGTAAAAGCTGAAGAAAAACATAAAGATTAGTCGAAAGGGTTAGTAAAGACGGAAATATTAAACTATGAAAAAAATAAATAACAAAAACAAATAGAATACAATTCCACAAGCATTTGATAACTGATTGGCCTGCATTCACAAATATGCATAAAATCATCTTTAATAGACTATAATATCGTCTACTTTACTAACTGATCTTAAGCCCTTGAAAACAGAGAAGATAGGGAGCGCGGATAACAACCTAACCAAGTTAAAATCACACACTCATATACACACATGCACACCCATAGATGCGGAAACTTAAGAGCACAAAAAAGACTAATCATCTTCTCCGATGAAATTGCGTAACAACTGACTGATTGATATTCAACATGGAACTCTGCACAAAAGTGCACTGGTTCATGTTATCATACATACCCATGTACCACACAAAGGAAGAGGGATTCGGATAGGAAAACAATAATAACTCAAAATTCAATGAAGTACATTATGCTGTGAAATTCAAGTGCGAAGAGGAATCCCAAAATAGAATTGCCTTCCTAGATGTTCTCCTTACAAGAAAACCAGATGGTAGTATGAAGAGGAATTTGCATAGGAAAAGTACATGGACAGGACAATATACACATTTTTATAGCTCCGTTCCTCTCCAGTATAAAATAAATTTAGTAAGGAAGGACCCTCAGCCACATGGTTAGAGCTATATGCTCAGAAGAGGTAACTGAAGATGAACTAAGGATTGTATATGACACCCGAAGTGAAAATAGCTATCAAGAAACACATGACCAAGAAAGCACAAAATGACTATTCTCCATCTGCGATTCAGGAGTGACGCACCTAGTGAAATAATTACTAACAAGTTAAAAAAAATCTATTCAAAGAACTTTTAATGCTGGTAAACTACAAGTCATATTTTCTAAACGACCGATGGTGATTCCTGAATTGGAAGATGAAGTACCTAGACTAGACACTTCTAATTGTATCTACCAATTCAACTGCGCTTGTGGAGCGAGCTATATTGGCCGTTGCTCTAGGAACTTGAATTTTCATGCTAGAGAACATCGCCCAGGATGGCTAACTAAAGGTGTAGTAAAAACCATCAATAGTTCGATATTAGACCACCTGGTGCAAACCGGCCCACAAAGCCAGCCAGCATTGAAGAATCCTTCTCTATCATCTACCGGGTACCAAATAAATTGCCAAAAACATCCAGGTACCGCATGCTCCAAACAGCAGAGGCTATCACCATTCGCCCTAAACAACCGGTGCTCTGTGTGCAGAAAAAGCAAGTCCAGCCAGTACTACTTACTGCCCTGGCCTTCAGTAGAGACTATAAATTCATGAATTTGTATTATTATCTTTCCTAATTTGCCTGTCTGATATTCAGTGTGCATTGTTATGTTGATGCTATTGAACTGTAATCCATTGATATTATTATTAATTGGATGTTATTTAAACAACATCAATGTTGTTAATATCACTAATTCATTCACTAATATATATATATATATATATATATATATATATATACTGATAGGATCCCACACACTTTGTTATTGTTCAATTATCTTAACGACTGTTAATCTCGCATAAGTGGTATATCATCATTTCCCACGCATTTTGTTATTGACTATTACGACCAATTACTTCAAATACTGTTAGCTGTCTGTATTCGTTGTGAAAATGTATAAATACCATTTCCTAAATAAGTTTCTTTGTCGTCGTTGTCGTAGTTGTTGTACTACAATACACAGTCACAGACCAGACTTTGTCTTTTGATATTTGCGTGGTTCGCTGAATCGGAAGGTACCAGAAGCAGATAGGCATATTAGTCAGGCGCAGACAGAACAAGGCAACAACGTCCTCAATTAATTCCCCTACCGTTACAACATATACATATATATATGTGTATATATATGTATATATATATATATATATATATATCTGCAGAACCTGATGAAGAGTAGGTTGTCGAAAAGAATATTCTTTGTTCAGTAACCATTGATATAAGAATAAAACTTGGGCTCATTGCCAGAGATCTCTGTTGCTGATCTTTTCTGACCGGCCATCTGATTTTGAGTATTGAGCGAAGACAACTGTTAATGAAGGTTTGTAGTTTGTTTGAGATGCTCTTTATAACGCCCTGTCCAATTCTCTGATCCGTATAGTAGCACTGACTTCACATTGGAGTTGAAAATCCGGATCTTATTTTTGATGCTGAGTGCTGTTGACCTCCACACAGACTTGACGTGAGTAGTGAAAGCTTGTCTTGCTTTTTGACATCCTCGTCAGTTCCGTCTGCCTGTAGTTGAAACGATGCTTCCCAGGTAGGTAGAAGAGGTTGTTTCTTTCAGGTTCCTTCCATTTACGCTGATTGTTGTCTGTTGTTGTTACTGTTGGTGGTGTTGCCCAGGAATCTTCATCACCTACCTCAGTTTTCTCTATGTTCACCTGAAGGAAGTCCTATCTTTGATGCTTCTTCGGCCAACTTGCTGCTTTTCTCTTGCATATCTTCCAGTTTGTGAGTCACGTCTCTACGCCTTGAGAATAAAATGAGCTAACATCTTTTGATATATGAAAAACCATTGGCTGTCTTGACCTCTATTCGCCTTTGGCACCAACTAAGAAATTATCATAATATAATACAAAATAATAGACACCAGGAAATTCTCAAGGCATGGAATAACCCCCTTGATTAGTTAATATACAATGCTAATTATTTCAATGACAAATAATATTTTTTTTTTCTTTAAATGGATAAACTCACCTCTGCACTAACAAAATATTGCCATAGTAACGGAATATTTTGTTGACTTTTACACAATTCAGTAAGTAGGTATAAAACATCCGCTTTTAAATCTAATGACACCGAACAGGTAAGAAAGCCCATGCATACAGGTAATAATTGCCATTGAGGATTAGAGATGAATGCTGAACGGGCAACTGGATCCTAGGTAAAAAAAAACACGAAAAAGAAATAAAGCAGTTTGAAAAACTTTATTCAAAAAGAAGTATATCAACATGATTGACTCTCGTCTTGACAATATAGAATGTCGTAAAAGTGTATCACTTTCGGGGAACTCGTAGACCACAGATCAGACAGTCGACATCTCTTCACTTGGGTCATACCAACAGTTAAAAAAAAACTCATCTATTGGTGCTAAATTTCGGTTTGACCAACCACACAATCTCCCCTAACTAATTTGAATTAGGTCAAAATAGCTTGTAGAAGAAAGCGGTGATTTTCTTACGTCTCATAACCAATTCGATCAATGGAGCTTTACAACACCTCATTGACTGACTCTGCCTCTTTATCTAAAATTCCGACTAACATGATGGCTACTTACAACTTTGCTGCATTTAACTCACTTTATTAAATGAAGGCACGTATAATCACACAACCTCTTATCTTTTCATTTATTTTAACTTTTAGCAGTCATGTCTAACTGTTGTGAAGAGGGACAAAAGGAACTGCTACATAGTACATCATACACCCTTTGATGCATTGTCTGATATAAAACCTGAGTAAAAATTGGAGTTAGAGTATACTAGGGCTTAGATTATGTTGACAACCACTACACTAAAGTTGATGGAACTTCACAAATAAGTAAAGCGATGAACACATCTATCCATTTCATTTCCAACTTTTAAACTAGAAGTCGATGCAGACTAGTTATGCAGCATTATCTTACATTTGATAGAGGCGAGTTTGCCTTACACCTAATTCGTGAGACATCTCAGTTAACCACAGTATAACATCCATCAGTACATCTACAAGGGGGAGATGGTTAAACCCTGATTCCAAACCTCCAACGACTGGCGTATAAAGCTCACTGGAGCTCACCGGAAGACGTATGGACAAAGGGCTTGTTGGATGTCCTGGATGTCTGGCCCCATTCAAAAAGGCGTATGAACCGAACTCCGGTCACCGGCTGCCAATGGATAGTGGACTCCCTACTCCACTCCTACTGCCTTGTAGGTCACACTTGGTTGTGTAAAGGCTAGAGCTGCACTTTCAAACAAAAGGCCGAGCGATTCTGGGGACATCACTCGTACCAAATTCCCATGAAACTTCATGAACTCTCTTACAAATGACAAACCAAATTCCAGTACTGGTCCAACAACGTCGCCTTCGGTGGTTTGGCCATGTTCTGCGCCGACCAGATGACGATCTGGTCAAATCAGTTCTAAATCCCTCGTCATTACCATCTTGGAGATGTCGCAGGGGTGGACAGCTGAAAACATGGCTTGGTACAGTCAAGGCTGATATGGAGTGCCTGGGGCTACAAACCGTCTACGGACTCCGTCTGTGGAACAAGAATTGGATAACCCTGTCGCAAAACCTTGCATCAGATCGCCGCGCCTGGGCAGCGATGATTCGAGATGTTCATGAAGCCGGCTCATCCTCCCGAAGTAAAGTAAGTACATCTACAATGAAATCAACTAGGGACGGTGACATTACGCATCCAGGACGGACACCGGTAAGAACGATACCCTCGGACAACTTTTCGTAAGCTCTCAAATGGCTCCATGATTTAGAGTACAGCGTTCTGATTGGCATAACTCAGCGAGATATTGTCACACCACCTCTTGACCGACTTTAACCGACCACTTAAGTCGAATCCCGCCTCCAAGTCCAGAAATACGCAAAGTATCATACACCAAAAAGTATTAATGCATTTCACAACCTATTGAAGAGTCAGAATTCGATCATCGTCCACGCAATTTTACATCAATACAGAGAGTATAAAATTTTGTCAATTTAACTGGTCGCAGCACTTCAGAATAGTAGGTAAGAAGGTGAAAAGATATATAATGATATTACAATAAACCCAATATGAATGAATGGAGTGAAGGTGAGGCATCCAAACGTTGGATCGTAACAAATCACTAACAGCCTCCAATTATTTATTTCTGAAGTGTTGAGAACCTTAGCAAGACAAACGTAAAATTCTCGAACCCACTTAAAACAATAATCAGTAACTTCATAGATTCGTACTGCTAAGTCTCGGTACAGAATGATTGTTTTGGGATTTTATCGCCGTCATGAGAAGAGGGGTGTTTTCAAAAAGTAGAAAAGAAAATGTGGATGTTCCGTGATTATAACCGAACTTATGAACATTCAGATCCATCTGGGGGAGTTGGAAAACCCTGATTTCAAACCTACGGTACATATGGGCTCCAGGTGTCAGAAGGGTCGATCACCAGCGACCATAGTAACGTAGCTACTGACGCTGCTCCGCTACCTTGTGGATCACACTTGAAGTCAAAGGTTCGGGGAGTAGTTCCTTAGGACAACCATATACTTCGGCCGGAGCCTCCGTGAAGTATCTCAGCCCTGGTATAAAGCATGGGACAACAATCCAATGTTGAGATAATGGATAGAACAATAATGAATTGTTACAAAAATTTACACAATTCACTACATCAGGAAGCACTCACCATACGACAGATACGAGCGACCAATCTTAAAACAGCCTGTAAACCAGCTTGTTCTTCGGGTTGAATAGCACGTGGTTGAGTAACCACAGGCGTTGTTGCTCCTGTTGTTGTAGACAGTTCCATTGCGCCAACACCTCTTCTACTACCATACATCGATTCAGCTGTTGGCCGTGATACACCTGGACCCCTAGTAGTAGTACGAGATCCTCCGCCCATCCCATCATTAAAGTAAATATGCGGATAAAGTTGATTCGATGACTGAACTCGAAGATTTGTTGTTGATTCAGGTTGGACAACTGTTTGCTTCATATGATTTAAATATTGTCGAAAACTGTTAAAGAAATGATCCCAAGTGATCAATGATGCACCTCGACCTGTTTATGCAGAAATTAAAACATGAATGAAAGATAATCAAGAATGTAATCTCTAAAATGTTTCACCTACAATATACTTAATTTACCTAAAAAAATCTTTCGCACATCTTAACATTTTTGAGGAAATAATATGAAATAATACGACCATATAACAAGATATGCATGTGTATGTGTATTAGACAGTAAGTGTGAGTTAACCATTCGGATCCAAACCAACCGATAGCTGCTACCGGTCGGTCGGTTTTCGACATAGAACTTTGCACATATGTGCGCCAGTTCAAGTCACCACACTCCCTCCTTGTAGCACACAGAGCAGGAGAAGAAAGTAGGAGAAATGCATAATATAGACAGTAAACAGAGGTGTGAGACAAAGGTATAGTAATAACGAAGAACAAAACAGTTTCATTGGAAATCATAAGTCACAAGGAGTGGATGCATTTGCGCTAGCCATTGAGAACAATTTTGAGCCATGTCACCAATCGTTTCCAACCACTGGTTTTTACCGTCCCGAGGACCCCAACCAGTCAGGAAGTCTACACCTTCCTACGTGGCTTAAACTAACTAACTGTTGTAGATTTCATTGACTGGTGCCATGTTTTCGTTTGACCGCCGCTAGCTCCTTTCCAGCTTGGCCCTATATCAGCTAACATTGCCCGTCGAGGAAGGCGATCGATGACTAGGCATACGTAATACATGTCCTAATCATCTCAGTCGATGTAGTTTCACAGTCTCATCGATTGATTTCCCCGCCTTACCTAGCACTCGACGCCTAACCCCAATATTACTCACCTTATTATACCACTTCACGCGGGAGATAGAACTCAGACACCTATGATCAAAGACAGCTAATCTTTTCATGTCTTCTGCTCTCAGTGGCCAGGTCTCATAGCCATAAAGGAGGACGGAGCAGACTGATGAGCAGTACACACGCCCTTTGGTCGATAGTCGGATATCACGTCTACGCCAGAGACGGCGTAAACTGGCATATGCGAAACTAGCCTTCTGTATCAGTGCTGAGATTTCGTCAGAGATCAACCCCGTTGGGGCTGATGGTTCTTCCCAAGTAAGTGAAGCGGTCAACGTGCTCTACCACTTCACTTCGTATTTCTAATCTAGGGGTCGGTGTAGTCCAATCCTGCAACATCATCTTACATTTTACAGGGGCGAATCGCTCAAGGCGTTCAGAAGACTCTGCATTTTGTCAGCGTCCTCGCCTAGAAGGACTATGTCGTCTGCATATTCTAAGTCAACGAGTTCAGAGTAGGTCGACCTCGAAAATTGCACATCCCAACTTGCTTTGCGGTGGTAAGATCTCCTACAACCTGAACTTCAATAATCACTAAAAACAGACTGTATTTGAACGACTTCAAGCAGTTGTCCCCCTGGGCTCTGCAGTCACACAACACTAATACTCCTTCTATGTCAGGTACACTAAGAAGAAAACCACATCCGTCGTGTGGACAGCTGGGAAGTGACAAGCACTCATAAATTTCTACTTTGATCACCTACAGCAAAACAGATGGAGAGTAATATTAGACAGTATAGAGTGTTGCGAGTTGGAATATCATCACATTCACACCCGGCTGAAATCTCTTTAAGCCCTTAGCCCAACAAACTCACAAAGTGATAATGTGTTTCTCCCTTCTTCTTCTTTAATAGTCAGTGTAAAATAAAATTGAGATTAAGTTGTTGTTTTTCCCTTTGAGTTGTTTCATAATTTATTAGTTGATTACAATAGACCAACCAACCGAAGTACTCAGAAACAGATTCCTCACGACCATTTATTGTTCAACTCGGGATGTATTGTAATGGTGTCATTTAAACATCACTACAGTGACGAAAAAACTTGAATTCCAAAACTTCTAACAACATAAATCTAATTTAGAAATCGTCTATGGATAAGAAGAAGATCAAATTACTACTAAAACGCGAAAATATTAAATTAAGTAATGTGAGAAAATTTATACACATTGAAATTGTGCATATTTTCCAAATTTGAATCTCTGTAAATGAAAGTTAAGATAATTAGCCGATTGAGTAAGACGGCCTTTAGTTCGGGTTCAAAACCATTTTATTATTATATTATCAGTATTCCCTTGGGTTCCGAATGGAACATAGGGCTTACAGCAGTACGTCCTCACTTCATCATGTTCTCCTCCGCAGTCCTCTTTAACTGACTCCACGATTGTCCATAAGCTTTCATCTCCTCCTCAAACGACCACCTCTCCTTATCAACCTCGGATGCCCAACTTGTTGTTTCCTGCTCAGATTCCACTCCAGGGCCTGGTACGTGATGTCACTCAAAGGTCTGCACAGGGTATATCCACTCCATCTCCATTTCCCTCTGCATATTTGTTAGGCCCCAACCCCAACCTCCCCTCTTTTTCCAGGTCAACGACCGACCGGCTACTACTAAACTAGACGATGTTCAAAACTATTTTCCAAACTTTGGTTTCACCAATAGCACAGTTTTACTGGCTTTCACTTAATAATTATAGTTTGCAGTCGTATATACACACTCTTGCATCCAACTTTGTTGTATTAATTTCTTCATCGATGATGGAGGTGTGGTTAAACAGTCTAAAGAGCTGTATATCTCGAATTCTGCCCTTCCAATTCTGTTCTGGCGACTAAGTGGTATCACAATCTCAGGATTATTGAGTAGAACATAAAAGTATGCATAATGCAATATAATATACTTCATTGGTGGTGGTACTATGATATTTATGCTTTATCAGTATACACCTAAGTATACATAAAGCATTTCAGGGGAGAAGAGAATAAAGACAGACAGTGAATGAAAACAATAAATACGACACGGAGAAGGACGTCAAAATCAGTGAGGATCAGAAAGGCAAGACAGATATTGTCATTAATCTGTAGTTAGTATGGAAATCTGCTGCAGTCGGCATAAAGTAAAACGATCCGAATTTTCAACACTAATGTCAAGTCAGTTCTCTCCTATACCGTTCAGACAATAAGCGCCTCACCAAAAGCATTTCAGACTCTTATTAACAGCTACATTTGCCCCGACTAAGAACCTATTGCCAAACAAATATGCGGAAGGAAATGGAGATGGATCAGACACGCGTTAAGGAAACCGCTAAGTAACATCACACACACCAGCCCCAAGGATAGAACCTCAAGAGGGAAATGATGCGTCGTGGGTGCCGCGCTCGAGGAAGATCGTGTGAGGAGGAAATGAAAGCTTATGGGCAATCGTAGAGCCAGTTGAAAATGACTACAGAGGACGGAGTGAAATGGAGGTGTATTTTTGAAGCCTCGTGTTTCACTCGAAACACAATAGAGTAACAAAAAATGTAATAATTAAAAGCCTAAGGTTACAAGAATTATCCATTAATGAATAGTGTAATGAATAAAAGTGCACTAAACTGAAAACTCATACCTGGATTGCTTGCATTCGCCTTAAGAAGACTGAAACAAAGTCCAGCTGCACTACGTGAACAGCATAAACTATGAAGCATGCGTAAGTAGGGTAGAAATAAACACGGTGTTGTCACCATATCTCCAGCTAACCTCAAAAATCGAATAAGTGCGGCCTGTAATACAAAAATAAAAACAAAAAACATTTATGCAGAGATAATAACAATAAGTAAGAATTAGTATTAATTCTATTAGAAGGAAAAACAGCAGTGACGAGCACTGCTGAGCAGTCGTCAACCAACAGCTGACAACAGATAGCTAAACACAATTCAAACTCTGCTTTTATTGTTGACCAAATGGGTAATTCTACTGGTGTGTTCTGAATGAATGATATTTTTTTATTCCTTTACGTTCCCAGTGGAACATAGAGCTTCAAGATAGAGCTTTGAAGTTTCGGTAGCAGTGGTGTTTATTTTTCACGGGATGGGGTTGCTAATCTCATGCCCAACCTTTCCTCTTTACCAGTCTTATTACTGGCTTAGCGGGGGGTAAAGGAGTGCCTCCGCGACCGGAGATCGAACCTCAAACCACATCGGTGGTTGGCGAGCATTCCACCGCTGTGTCACCGACGCACGAATGAATGATATTAGGCTGTTAAGACAACTACACCGCTTTCCCTTCCTCTATTATTGCTGTCCATCAGGTCATCTACTCACCTTGGAAATCCTTCAATGTCACAATTTTTTTCAACTTTATAATGTGCGATTTTGTTAAGTGTTGTACAAACAAAACAACTGAGAATCACAACTCGTTCATAATTGTTTGACTGCTTACATCTAGCAACCTTTACAGATCTTTATCAACAACTGTCTTCGTTCTATACTCAAGATCAGATGGCCGGAAAAATTCACCAACAAGAAACTATGGGAACAAACAAAACAGGAACCAATCGCCCAACAAATATGCAGGAGAAAGTGGAGATGGATTGGACACTCGCTGAGCAGAGGAGGCCGCTGGTTGACATCGCGCGTCAGGCCAGTGCTCGAGTGGAACTCGAAAGGGAAGCGGCGAGTGGGACGTCAGTGCAGGGGTAACATGTAGGAGATCGTGTGAAGAGGAGCTGAAACAGTATGGACTAACATGGATGCAGGTGAAAAGTACAGCAGAAGACAGAAACAAGTGGAGACGTTCAGTTGAAGCCCTATGTTCCACTAGGAACCCAAGGGAACAATAATAATAATACAAAGAAGTGTATTCTCTATAATTATAGTTGAAGATGCAAGAAGATATGTTTCGAAATCCACAACCATAAAAAAATATATCTTTACAATGAATGCATCCTTTCATATTTTGATAGATTACTTCCTAATTATTTGATCCCTAAAGATCCATATACTTCCCTCGATTCATTTAGATATCCAGATGTTAACTAGTTTTCTTTGTATATGCTTCAAAATAGTAATTTTTAAAGTTTAATGAGTCACTGAGTCTCACAGTTTGCTTCCTTATAAAGACTAATAATACGCCTTACTTGTTTTACCTCTGATGTTTGGAGTAGGATTTCAATATATGACTAACTTTCCTAGAGATTAGAGTTTGTAGGGCCATAGTTCAAGTATAACAACTTAAATTGGTTTGTTAATATTTTTTATTCACCACATAACACCATCTCCCAGAGACCGAAAATCGCACCGTTAAGCAACTTACAATAAAAAGCACGAACTATCTTTTAGTGTTAGTTATGCAACACCTGAAGGAATATCCAGTTGATCTCGAAGTTCTCTGTTGCCCATTCGAAAGGGAGGAGGAATCTATTTTGACATTATTCACTTATATGTATGAAGAATAATCATCTGTTGCTAATATATTCATTTCACCAATTTGAAGGAAATTTTCAACAGGTGAATGGGATTGTTATGAGGAGTTCATTTGGACGCCTTTCGACTGATGTGTATGCGTCTTACTATAAAAATCTGTCCGGTGATTTGAATGCTAAAGTGCCTTTTTATAGGAGATACGTCGATGACATTATTCTGACATGCAATAATCGTGAAGATGCCACTCGTCCACTGGATAGACTCAAATCTGAACAAAGTCATTTAAGACTTACATTTGCAGAAGAAAGTTGCAACTAACTTGCATTCCTAAACATACTTTTAACTCGGAGAGAGGATGGTTCAATAAAGCAGCGGTTAATTTATAAAAAGCTTAATTGTACATGGTAATGTTTAAATTCCCAACGTTTCTGTCCATTACAATATAAGAGAGATTTGATAAATTGCTTATGTAAGAGGATTCACAGAGTATCTGTACGGTTGAGGTTATTGAGGACGAAAATAAAATACTGAGAGAAGCTCTTGTCAAAAAAGAGACTGAACTCTGTCATCTGTAAAACCTACTATGCAGCCGGGCTTGTAGTTGTTGAAAAAGCTAAAAAAATATGCTCTACTATAAGCTTTAACATTGCACAAGTGACTTTGTTACATCCCGCTCCGTCCTCCTTTATGGCTGTGAGACCTGGCCATTGAGAGTGGAAGACATGAAAACATAAGCTGTCTACGATCATAGGTGTCTGAGTTCTATCTCCCGCGTGAAGTGGTATAATAAGGTGAGCAATATTGAGGTTAGGCTTCGGTTGAGTGCTAGGTAGTTGGGAGGGGAAATCAATCGATGAGACTCTGAAATTACATCGACTGAGATGGTTAGGACATATGTTACGTATGCCTAGTCATCCCCTTCCTCGACAATGGGCAATGTTAACTGATATAGGGTCAGGCTGGAAAAGAGCTAGCGGCGGTCAAACGAAAACATGGCACCAGTCAATGAAACCTACAACAGTTAGTCTAAGCCACGTAGGAAGGTGTAGACTTTCTGACTGGTTGGGGTCCTCTGGACGGTAAAAACCAATGGTTGGAAACAATTGGTGATACATCCACTCCTTGTGACTTATGATTTCCAATGAAACTGTTTTGTTCTTCGTTACTACTATTCCTTTGTCTCACACCTCTGTTTACTGTCTATATTATGCATTTCGCCTACTTTCTTCTCTTGCTTTGTTTGCTACAAGGAGGGAGTGTGGCGACTTGAACTGCCACACAAATGTGTAAAGTTCTATGTCGAAAACCGACCGACCTACTATATACCAATGTACATTTCTGTGTATGTGGTCACATATACATAGATAGGAGTAATCGCGCTCTGCACGTGAAGATGGGAGAACATATACCCAAAATGCCTTGAAAAAAAATTGAACTGTAAAGCCTTAACAGATGCAGATGGCAGATTACCAACTCTGTCTATAGCTACACACATTTAAGTGATATGAATCGCAAGATCGATGTCAAAAGCGGATATTTTTAAATATAATCAATCAATTTTGTTATTTTCCCGGGAAAATCTCAAACTCGAATGTAAGATGAGACAATGGAGCTAATTATTTCGAATGTGCTCAGAAGTTCTCGTATGTCTACTTTTCACTAAACCGCCCAATATACAGGAAAAGTCATAAGTCAGATAACTAATTACAGCTGCTTCACCCTACCATGAGTAGTAGTCAAGCATTACGAACACATAACCTCTTCATTGAGGCTTTCATTTCACCAAGAAGGATGGTTAGAATAACTGACACAAATGCGAGTACACATTATGAACGACTGAAACATCATGGCTAAAAAAAACTAACCTGTCGAATATTATCAACCTCAGCATTTCGTGATTGAGCACCGTAGATATTTAACTTTGGCCTGGGCGATTTGCTAGCCATCCCCGTTGACAAATAGTCATTTGAGCTTAAGACTGCTGGTGTAATATTAGCCAATTCACCTACAGGCCACCAATACTCCAAGGCTAGTCGACTGTGAAGACGTGAACCAGGCTGATTATAAAGTTGAGCGATTAAGAGTAAGAGGTTTGCAAAACCATGCCCAGTAGTTGATGGATCAAAACCTGTAGATCTTAGTAAATCTTCATCACGTAATCGAATGTCTTTTACTCGAGCTGCCATATGTACAAGTAGATCAGTAATAATACAATGCATACGATACACCCACAGTGGCTACAAAGATAAAATAAGTACCTCATTATTTGAAAAATAAAATACATTTTTAAAAAAATGAAGTACTGCATATGATAAATGAAGACTTGTTAAACACAGAAAATTTCCCCACTGTCTAAAGTTTAATACAGAATAGAAGGCCATCAGAATTTACGTCAAACCCTACTACCTTGAACCTTTTACAATAATTTCGCATTACAAACTAATTCAACACAATGACTACACAAACAGATAAAATTCTGATGCTAAATCCTTGGAACAATGTTGATAAAGCCTAAAGTTGTACACGTGCAGGATATTTCGTAATTTCCTTGAAGATAACTCTTCCCTTTATATGCATATTATCCTTGCGATGGACTTGAAATAAATTTGAAACTTTGAGGTGCCACACAATCAGGCAGTATACACTAAAGTAATGTAGTGTGTAAGAGTGAAAGCATACGAAGGTTACACAAAAAACTATTTTTCGATTAAATATTAAGTGTATCTATGAAAAATGATGGAGTATCTCTTGTGTTAAGTGGTATAATACGGTGACCAATATTGGGTTTAGGTATCGAGTGTTAGGTAAGGAAGGGAAGTCAATCGATATGGTTTCATAACCTTATCGATTGAGATCGCTAGGAAACGCGTTGCGCATGCCGAGCCACAGCCTTCATAAACAAGCCATATTAGCTAACATACAATTAGGTGGGAAAAGAGTTAGAAGCGGCCAAATCAAAACCTGGTATCGATCCATGAAGTATATGGCTTGAGCCGCATGGGGAGATATAGGCTACCTCCTTGCAGTTCTCGGAATGCCAAGAATCAATACCTGGAGATCCATACTTGTTGATATAGCTCAAAATCGTTCTATGTTGAAACTAAGTCAGTCAGTCAGTCAGACTGATGACTGCAGTACTGATCAGGAACTCGTAATGAATTATTCTTATCACAGTAATTACGTTTTCACCCTTGAAAACGTATAGACACACCTAGTACTTGAATGTTCCGATATTTGATGTTGTTATACTTTAGATCGTAAGAAACGTGTCATCAATTTATTTCTTAAAATAGAAAGTGTAATTAATGCTGACTGATCAGCAATATATATACATGCACAACATACCTCACGTTCAAAGTCAGCAGTGTTTAAGATCTGTTTACGAGCGAATTCTAAAGCACCTGACTCGATAGCTAGAGCCGCTTGTAATTCTTCTTCTTCATCACCACCAATACCAAAGTCGTCTTTACAGTTTGTACTAGAGTTGCCATCTGCACTTCGACGACGGCGTAGTTCAGCACGTAAATGACTTGTCCTACGTAGGCATATTGCCCACGATAGTTTTATTAGTGCCAATAACTGTAACTTTTCTGAACCATTTTCATTAGTATTATTTTCATATGAAGCCTTTTTCTCATCCAATAAACGCCCAATACCGGATGCAAATGAGCGGTCATTATAGAGAGGATGAAACAAATCTGTGGGAAAATAATACCAATGAACATGAAATGTCAGAAAATAAGAGCATTTATGAAACGAAGGTACTTAGCAGTAGTAAAATTAAACAAGATACATGTGTTTACCCACATAAGCATTTATGACATCATTCTGATGTCCGATAAGAGACAAGATACAAAGCCTGGAATTAGAATGCTTTATTATTATGGAAGACGATGAAAGGCACTTTCGATTAGTGCGTCAAACTAATGTATAAACAAAATACTAATTGCTAATCAGGGCCTTGTAGGAAGGTGCATATTGTCTGAGTTGCATACATGTGATAGCCATAACCTATAGTTGGGCATAAAATGATATGACTGTAATTTTCGCTGCGGTTTAGGTGGATTAATCTTGAGTTCTTTTTAAGTTGTTATTTGCCTTCACCTTAGAAGTCCTGATATCGTGGTTTATATGACCCCTATTTGTCTTTAATTTTTTCAACTCAATGTGAACATAAGGTTAACCAGCTTGCACCACTAAGATATAATGCAAGTAGTTAAGTTGATTTGGCACGCGTGTTTTTCACTTGATATCGGCTACTGAATAAACTAATGGTAAACACTAAGACTAAAATCAAAAATATTGAAAAACCTAGTTAATTTTTTGTCAGTCATATCCTGTCAAACCGCTAAAGAAACTTCAACGCGCAGAAAATACATTAAAAATACAAAAAATTCAAATAACAATCTTATTCTTCGCTCGAATCGGAGAGGCGAAATGACACAGCGGGCTGGTGAAAGCCTTCGGGAAGCCAGTCATCCAACCGGTGTGTCTTCTCTCGATGAAATCAAGAATAAGAATGGGGACGTGGAATGTCCGTAAAATGTACGAGACTGGGAAGACTGCCCAGGTAGCCAGAGAGATGAGAAGATATGGCTTAGAAGTACTGGGTATCTGAGAAAGCAGATGGAATGGATGTCGATTGACAACATTGTCAACGGGAGAGTCAATTATCTATTCCGGTCTGGTCATCCAGACGACAACCATGAACACTGAGGCAGTGAGTAGCTATTATGATGTCACCAGTGGCAACCAAAGCCCTAATGCGGTGGGAACCAATTTCATCCAGGATCATGACAGCAAGATTCAACTCAAAGGGAAGACAGGAAGGTCACAATTATCCAATGCAACGCACAATGCTACAAACAACGCGGAACAAGAAAAGAAGGAGGCTTGTTACAGACGACTACAAACAGTGATGGACAATATCCTAAATGGTGACATCAAAATCCTTATGGGCGATATGAATGCCAAACTGGGAGCAGATAATACAGGAAGTGAACTCATCATGGGTCGTGAGGCTCTCGCAGAAATGAATGAGAACGGAGAATTATTCGCAGACTTCTGCTCTTTCAACGATTTGGTGATCGGAGACAGCGTGTACAAACACAAGGATACACACAAAGCAACATGGATTTCGCCTGACGGACATACCACAAACCAGATAGATTTCATATCAATCTCAAGGAAGTGGAGACGCAGCCTGCCGGATATGAAGTCGAGAAGGGGAGCAGATGGGGGCTCAGACCATCATCTAGTTCAAGGAACCTTTAAAGTGAAGCTGGAATCCATGAAAACAAATGGAGACAGACCACAATTCAAGTTCAACATTCAGAAACTGAAGGACAAAACTACAAGGGTTACCTTCACTACAGAAGGGAAGGCAGCAGGACCAGACGGAATCCCCCCCGAAGCATTGAAAACGGACCCACAGACTGCGGCAGATGTGGTCACGCCACTATTACAAAAGGTTTGGGAGGAAGGGAGAGTGCCTACTGACTGGAAGAAAAGCTACCTCGTCAAGCTGCCAAAGGGAAACCTAGGCGTGTGCAAGATCTGGCGTGGAATCATGCTCTGGTCCATGCCAAGTAAAATACTAAGTTGCATCACACTGAAGAGAATAAAAGATGCACTGGATACAGAACCCCGCCACCCACAGGAACAAGCTGGATTCAGGAAAGGCAAATTATGTGCTGATAAAATTGCAACTCTACGCATCATCATCGAACGCAGCCTAGAATAAAATGGCAGTCAAACCTCTACCTCAACTTCATCGACTTCGAAAACACCTTCGACAGAGCAGCGTTGACCGAGAAGTAATTTGGAAACCACTTCAACACTACGGCGTACAGTGCCCAGGTCTTTATCAGCCTCATTCAATATCTGAGCATATGACAATGCCACGTGTCAGGTGATCCACAACCGGAAACTCAGTGAGGCGTTCGAAGTGCACACAATAGTAAAACAAGACTGTCTATTATTTCCCACGATGATATTCTTAATTGTGGTGGACTGGATTATGCGGAAGACTGTGCACAGGGAGCGAGGAGACAGGAATACGCTGGACCACCGATAAGAAGACTAGAATATTTGGATTTCGCAGATGATATATGTCTAGTGTTACAAAACTCGAAGACATGCAGGTGAAAACCAATAAACTGGCTGAAGAAGCAGCCTGAGAAGACACGATCCAGGTGAACATGGAGAAAACGGAGGTGATGAGGATAACCAACCAACAACATCAACAACCAGCACCAATCACCATCAACGGAAGAGATTTAACAGAGGTTACCTCCTTCACATATCTTAGAAGCATCGTTTCAACCAGAGGTGGAACGGATGAAGATGTCAAAATCAGAATCGGAAAGTTAAGATACACCTTCATCAAAATGAAACCAATCTGGAAATCTTCTTCACTCAACATAAGGAACAAGATTCGAATTTTCAACATAAATGTGACGTCTGCCAATTCTTCTATACAGGTCAGAAACTAGCACTGCATGTCAGTCATGAAAAGGATTTCCAACAGTTTGCAGACAATTTTCAACAGCTACCTTCGCTGGCTCTATACTGAAGATCAAATGGCCAGAAAGAATTAGTAACTCTGGGAACAAACCAGCCAAGAGCCGATTCCTCAACAAATATGTAGGAGAAAATGAAGGTGGATCGGACATACATTGAGGAGGCCGCCGAATGACATCGCACGCCAGGCCCTCGAGTGGAATCCCAATGGGAGGCGACGAATGGGTCGTCCTAGGGTGACATGGTGAATATCGTGTGAGGAAGAGATGAGAGATTATGGTCAATCTTGGACCCAGCTGAAAAGAAAAGCAGAAAACAGAACAAAGTGGAGATGTGTTGTTGAAGCCCTACGTTCCACTCGGAAAGCAAGGGAATAATAACAATAGTAGGATAGGCATATTTTAATTAAATGTTCACATGACAAATACAAGAACCAAAGAATAAAACGAAGAAGATTTAGCATACCTAACAACCCCTCCTGCAAGATATTAATTTACATATTTTAAAGTAATAATATATCGAGTTGTTAGCAAACGACCTAGGCAACTGGATATAGCATCAATCCAAACGCAATATGTGTTGCCCGTAGTCTATTCCACTTAAATAAGTTCTAACTATATACTGATGGCCAGGGAATATTTGAGAAATGAAATTAAGGAGACGATTCTAGTATTTATGGGCAATGAGAATATATTTCTGAAAAATATGACTAGTAAGTAGCACAATACATTACAAGCATATAAGTGGATAAGATAAAACAGGAAATTAAAAGGGATTTTCCCGGTCTGGTGAGATCAAATACACATCGAAACTTACCAAAATCTGTAAGATCTGATAACTGATCAGCACAAATTGTATTCGAAGAAAAAGGTTGGAAACAATACAGCAAAGCCATAAACAAATGTACGCCTTCTCTTGTAAGCTGACTGTTGATTTGAAATATTATCTGACCTTTATTTTCATTTGAATTTACAGGTAATGCTTGGGGTTTCGGAGTTAATAAACAATCCAGAACTAGCTTAAATTCACTTAGATTTAAAACGCTTTGACAAGACCATAGCATCACACATTCAGCTAAGCCTTCGGATATGTTTTTTAGGAGCATGAAAACATCATGTCGATGTTTAGAATCACCTAAAACCTGTGCAGTTTCCAATCGAGAGAATTCTTCATACGCAGAAAATGATCGCAAAGTACCTAAAAGACGAAAAACGCGAAATGTTTACCGGTAAAAACTGCCTGTTCGAAAAAGTGTTATTGCAATAAACTTTCAATCTCATCACATAATAAAACGAACCACAAATTTTTCCAAATATAATCCTATGAGTATCTCTGTTTTATCAGGTACCGCTGCGAATAAATGTAAAATATGATAATGACAAACCTTAACTTAACAAAAATAACAATAAACACAAATATCGAGATCACAGCACAAATAATGAGGGCATAAGAAAATATTCATGTCAGAAAATGGTCGGTCGGTCGGTCGGTTTTCGACATAGAACTTTGCACATATGTGCGGCAGTTCAAGTCGCCACAATCTATGTAGCACGCAAAGCAAGAGAAGAAAGTAGAAGAAATGCATAATATAGACAGTAAACAGAGGTGTGAGACAAAGGAATAGTAATAACGAAGAACAAAACAGTTTAATTGGAAATCATAAGTCACAAGACCGAAAGCTGCTACCTTGACGTGGTGGTCGGGCTTGAACACTGCAATGACCCAACAAGCTATACTGGCTGGAACTTATGTTCCTGCAGGTCTTACCATGCCAGAAAGGTTGTTTGGATAGCAGTTAGACTAAAAGCAGTTACCCAATCCAATCCTATGATTTCAAATAAATCACAAAATATCATGCCGGATCGGTCGGGGCCCGGATTAACAACGACCGCGCTTTCTGCTGCCGTGTCACAGGGCAGAAGTGATAAATACGCTACTGAGACACACCAAATAAAAAAGAACAAACAAAAACAGGCCGCGTGTGACCGGCCTCAAGCAGTTGTCCCCTGGGCTCTGCGGTCACGCAACCAACTTCCACGGTGTGGGCAGCCGGGAAGTAACAATCGCCCTCACAATCCGAAGTGCACGCGAAACCCCTCTAATCCTCACTCATCTTTGTCTTCATCTTCATCTCTATTATCTTGCCTTCCTTCTACCAATGCAACTCCTCTACTTGTTGGCTCTTCACTTCCTCTTCAATCTGTGTGCACTGATAACGATGGAAGCCAAAAAGCCACCACCGATGTCAGAAAATGAAACACTAATTACTTTGCCAATGAATAACTTGATATCGAGAAAGTGAATAGCGATGGTCAGTAGATAGGGAAAATATAAAAGAGTACTACACTACTTCGTTTAGTAAAAAGGAAGTATTTCACTTGCAGTACAAGTTCCCAGTACTTCCTACATCCACCTAGAGAAATCAGCAACGTACACTACCTAGAAAAGTGAATAATTAAACTGTTTTAGGATGAAAAATCAATTAAGACACAGGCTTCTATAGCCCGAAGTATTTATGTGCTAACGCCTGCTGAAAGTTTAAACAAGGGGGTTTGCTGTAGAATGGTGACAGCAGGAATATAATAATACAAAATCATGTATATACTTATCACGTGGATAGAAACTGCTTTCTTTTCTAGTAACCTTCCTCGTGAATAAAGCGCAGATGAACTGAAAAGCAATCACAACTTTAGATCACTATAAACAACGATAAATTGCATTATAAAGTAATTCAGTGTACACGAAATGATTTCATTAAAAGACAGGAAGTTACCTAAAATGTTTTGAAGAGCTCCGCTTGCAAACAAATCGTCTGTGAATTTGTGAACAGACTGGCAAATTTCAGGAGTTGTTGAAGTTGACCACATTCGACCATCACGGGCACCAATCAAGGTAACAAGGGATTCAATTATCGACAGATGTGATTCGTAGTAGAGAATTACACCGACTAAACTCCGAGCAAGATGGGGAAACGAGGAAAGCTGACTCTCAACTATGTTATAACTGATTATTATGAAGAAAGTATATACCTGTTAGGCAGAGTTCAACAGCCCTCAGTTCATTCAGCTTGAAAACTTCACTCAGAAAAAGTGACTCTTGAATGATATCTTCGGACAGGTGAACTCGATGTGGGAACTCTGGTAGGAAAACCCCAGCATTTTGAGCAGTCTTAACAGCTTGATAATCACCTTCACATTTACCCTATATAAAATATCTAATAAAAATGAAATGAAAATTACCGGAAATGACAATGGTGAAAACAACAGCTGTTTGTGCTTCTGAAGAGCATTTTCCATCTCCAGCAATCTATTAGCCTTGCCATTGCAAATGACGTCCGAAACAATACATTTAAGTGACTTAGCAGAAGACCACATGTTTTTCAGTAACAATGCGCACACTTTCAATATTCCGCTATCATACAACCGCCAAGGTCAACCGAACGAAACTTCAAATTTTGCTTAGTGATGTCCAATATCCAATATCCTGATTACGAGCTAGTATAAACCAGTGATTTCTTTGAGCTCGCTTCTTGATTTTAAGGTAGAGGTTCCAGATCTTCGGTGAACTTATGCGTAGTAAATCCCGCCACTCGACTGCTTTAGCTCTGGTAGACTCCAGGAGGAGTGATGCGAGGATTGGTCAAGATTGTGGTTTGTAGTGTGCAGTATGTTAGGACTCAGCTGCTGCCGTGAATGGAGTTTGACCTAACACCCGTCGGTCATTCGGTATAGTCATAAAAGTAGAGTAATAATAATAATAATGATAATGATAATAATAGGTTGTAGTGTAGATAATATAGGTTGAGATAAGTGAAATAATAAAGAAAGAAAGATAGAGTAGTCGGTACAGTGGGAGAAGACAGGACGGGTCGTGAAGATTTAGCTTGTATGCTTATCCATTGACAATGTGGTTTCAAATTTTAAGAGGGTAAGCCATTGAGACACAAACCATGCATTTCTGCATGATTGTCCAGCTTCCGCTTAAAAATCTCCACAGATGGAGCTGTAGTTACGGCCGCCGGTAAAGCGTTCCAGAGACGGCAAACTCGAAGCGAGAAGAAATGTGAACGCACTCGAGTCCTTGGTCTCTGGTGTGCTATCCTTAGCGGGTTACCTCGTGGAAGCCTATAATCACTTAATGGCAGGATGCTCTTGTTAGGATGGGCCTGGTCATTTAGGATCTTATAGACGGTGATGAGGTCTCCCCTGTGACTACGGTAACTAAGTGTGAAAAGACTTAATTTCTTCAGTCTCTCCTCATATGATTTGTTGCGGAGGCCGATCACCCATTTTGTCGCTCGTCTCTGGACACTTTCTAGCATGTTAGCATCCCTTTTGAGTAGCGGAGGAGCAATGATATTATGCACCTCAAGGAGTGGCCTCACGTATGTCGTATACAACGTTAGGAATAGTTCAGGAGTAAGAGCTCCCAGTTGCCTATGCATAAAGTGTAAAGTGCCGTAAGCTTTGGCGACGTCCCTCGTGTAATTTACACTGGTGTCTAGCTTTTCTGTTAAAATAAGGCCTAGATCGCGTTCTGATGGCACACAACTCAAGTTCTGGCCACCAAGGGTGTAATTTGCACTCTGTGACCTGCCGGAATGAAGTTGCACTACTTTGCACTTCTTTAAGTTGAAAGGCATTCCGTTAGCCAGAGCCCAGTCCCCCAGCGTTTGCAGGTCAGCCTGCAATCTGTCGGAGTCTTCCGATGAGTTTATTGCTCTCCAAATCTTTACGTCGTCAGCGTAAAGAAGCGCAGAGCAATTCAGTTGACAGGGCAGGTCATTGATAAAAATCAAAAACATCAACGGCCCTAAGATAGAACCCTGAGGAACCCCTGATGCCGAGGTGTGCCAGGATGATCGGATGCGGTTGACTTTGGTGCAGAATTCTCTCTCGCCTAAATAATCTTCCAGCCATGCGAGAAGTGCTCCAGAAACACCCGCTTTGCTTATTTTGTGAAGGAGCAGACCATGGTGAACTGTGTCGAATGCTTTCGCAAAGTCGAGAAAGATCACATGGACTGGTACCTTTACATCCCAGGATAGTGTCCAATCGTTCCAAGCTAGTAGAAGATTCGTCACACAGGATCTTCCCTTCCTGAAACCATGCTGTGCTTCATGGAGTAGGTTAGTCCCGTCGAAGTATTTTCTCATGTGGTCGTCAATGAGACTTTCGAATATCTTCGATATCACTGGGAGTAGCGCAACTGGTCTGTAACTGGTCGCGTTCTGCCGGTCACCACCCTTGAAGATAGGGGATAGGATGGCTCGTTTCCATTCACATGGAAGTTTCCCTACATCAAAGGAGTGTTGAAACAGATCACTTAGGGGTTGGCAGAGACTTTCTGAACACTGCTTCAGGACGGATGGTCTTATGTCGTCGCAACCTGCAGACTTTCCCGAAGCCAACTTTCCCAATTTTATGAGTACCATAGCCGGGGTAATTTGAAATGTACCCAGCAGGTTTTCGCACGTTGGTCTTGCATTGTAATCTTGATGTTTTGTGAGGGTAAAATCCTCGTTACTGTTCAGTTGCCTGTGAAAGGCTAGACTGAATGTCTCTGCCATTTCAAGACTAGTAAGAGATTTCCCATCAGAACCCACTATATTGCAAGCTCCCTGGTTGGTCGGTTTTCTTTCAGACATAAACCTGTATAGGCTTTTGGGGTTCACGAGAAGCTTATTGGCGAGGTTTCTCTGAAATGATGTGACTGTATGATCATACTATGTCCTATCCCCCTTCAGAAGGTTAAGGTTTTTTAAGACTTTTAAAAAGTAGCAAAACCATCCAGGCTTTTACTCTGTTTTGTACTTTCTGTCGTGTTGATATACACGGAGATGTTCACAGTTCCTGGTTCAGCCACATTACCGACACAAATTTCAGAATCCAGTGAATAGCGCTGTTCCACTATATGTGGGATTACATACAATTATAGCGTCCAACTTTTGCAAAAGTATCGAATTCCTTCTCCTATAATAGCCTTAACTTTGTAATGTTCAGATGTATTGCACTTTAGGAGCATTTCCCAATAAATGAGTTCTCTTCACTTGTGTTTCTCTTTCAATCCTTTTAAGTTACATAGGCTACTTCTAATGTGGGTAACATTGCACATTAGGGTATTCAGCGGTAATGCTGCAGCCGAATTTTTAGTATTTCCTATGGCCCAGTTTGTATATTAGGTAAATGATTCCCCAAAATGTTTGGTCTGCATCAAGCTGCGTCGAGTACCAAATGCTGACCTCCACTGTTTGGGCCAACTTATCAAGCTAAGTGTACGCAGTCAAGCACCCATGCCAATCGGCACGCTGTCATTTTACTTTCAGTCTTTGGTACACAGTGCCCAGCCACCCAGGCAGTCATCGTTGCTCTAAGATTTTGATCTCGAAATATATGTCGTATTTTGACGGTCAGTTTGTTGTTTTCATTTGTCTCAATAGAAGTTCTTTGGCACAAAACTTGGGCATCCTTGGCCACTCAAACTGGCGAGGTTGAAGACGAACTCCATCTCCTAAACTCGTAAACACGCAGACAAATTTCACTTTATTTCGGGGAGTCTTTTCCGTTTTGTAGTTGTTCATTTTTATGGTAATAGTTTATTCTCAAAAACATATGATTAAAATTCCGTTTTTGCAGCTACGACCATATCTAATACAATTGTGCAGTAAATTCAAAAGACGCTGAAAAGTAATATTTTAGAGGATTAAAGAACCGCAGCAAGAAAAGAAAGACACTCGCTATATACGAACTGATGGAAGATGTTCATAAAACCTGCCAAACCCCTAATAATCAATTCGTTCATCTTTGTAGACTGCAGCACTTGCTGGACTGCTGAATTTTCAAGGGACAAGGCCCAGCGGCTTTTTCATGGTTCGATCGTGTATCTCTACACTTTGTTCAAATCATCTTCAGTAAATACACCTTTCTGCAGCCGTAAGTTTTATAGCCTCCTTCCGCTGGATGGGGTGGTGTTAACAGCAGCTTGACCTCTGAGTTAGGTGGACCAGACCAAAGAGTCAGTACGTTGTGCGGCCAGAGTCACGTCTAGCATGAAAAATAGCGACACACCAAGCGCTACAGTTAATTCTGGTCAAAACAAACTGAAAGTGGGCTCGAAGTCGTTCCAGTAGCCCAACCAATTGGTTTCCTAAGGATAGATGTTTCATAAATTGTCTGAACAATTTACAAATCCCGAATAAACCTGTCACTTCAGAATTGGATGCACAAAAATTCTGTTTGACCATATTTGCATGGGAATTTCTCAAGTTCACTCCAAGTAGGTGCTTGTTTGCATTAATTGACTGACAGAAAGAAAAAAAGAGAAGATATTCAGCGAAGAGACTCTTTTCGGCGAATTCATTCACATAGCTGTACAATCGCATTTATATATAAATATTTGTGTGTGTGTGTACATGAGGCTTGTCAAGTTTAGATAATTGATTAGTTGATACAAGAATGATGTAGTATAGAGACAAAGTTAATCAGACAGCAACTAAAGTAAGATTGAGTTAGAAAGCTAGATGACGTAATATAATTGGCTAAAATGTTACAACTTAGGTCGGGATAGCAACAGAGGTAATTACAGGTAGAGATTAAGTAGAAGTGAAATTGAGTGAATAAGTTGGATGACGTAACATGAATGACTAGAAACTGAGCGTTGCTCAAGTCAGTAACAGTGGTAGTGAGGTGTAGAAATTGAATCGGGTGGGGGTAGAGAACAAGAAAGTTGAAAATGTAAAATGTTACAATTGAGAAGACAAAATAATACTAACGAAGAGACAGAAGAAAAGATTAGGTAGAATTTACATGTCGGCTAATAAGATAGATTACGTCCATTGCAAGTGTAGTGATTGAACGAACTTCTTCTGTATGCAGAGTTCAGGACTTAGCAAGTGAATCGCCATTGCTTCTGCAGTTTGAAGAAGTCTGGTTCGTACACCTTTAGGGAGACTACTTCTTACTCTGTAGACGACTTTGAAGTTTGTTTGCGGTGTAGCTTGGTGTCCGGATTCTATCAGATGTTCTAAGATGGAACTGCGGGGGCATCGATTTTCTCCTTTGTAAAACCATGTTGGTAAGTGCTCGGTGATACGTTTGGAAAGCGAGCGCTGGGTACGGCCGACATACCTGGCTCCACACGAGCAGGTGAATTGATAAATGCACATTGATGAGGCCAGCAGCGGTAGCTTATCCTTCACGTTCACATGAATCATAGGTTTTGTGGAGAAGGTTAGTCGTAGTTCAGCTGCGAAGAAGGTCTTCTTAAGTGAGCGCGACAGTCGATTTTTTAGTGTTTCCGCAGATAAATCTCCATTGAATTGAAGATTCATGTAGAGTAGTTTTTTCTTGACGCTAAGTATGGGCGGCTTTTCTGG